ATGATAAATTGCCATTTTCCAAGATGGAAGTGACCTGACTTTATGCTCAATTTATAATCCTCCACTGGTGCCTCGCCAGCATAAACCATATATGCGGCGACAACAGCCTCGGCGGATTCGATTCCTCGCACGGCATACACATTTGTACTCATGAGGATGATTGTTTGTATCGGTCTGGGTGTTTTCTATGTATATTATGTATTTACGAAAAAAAATGTATTTGTATCAGTTATCTAGTACCCATGACAAGCTTTAGCTGGCTTAACATGGGACTAGATGGCTCTTTGTGAATTGTCCTGAGATTATTATTATTATATGCGCAACCTTTCCATTATCATCCATAAAAAATACCTTAGTTCTTCCCGAAATGGCAACATATGATTACGTCATATCCTCGATGATCTTTATGTACCTAGATAGGCCACGATCCCCACTTACTATTAGATGGTCCGCCATTATCTTTACCATAAAAATAGATAATTTTGTCAATTCTATGCTTATTCTGATGACTATTTTTTGCATTGCTACTCTAAACTTTTAAGACGTTTAAAGTGTTATTTACTCAACATTAAGCTGGGTGATAGAATTTAACAAAGTGACACCCTAACACTATATGAATGGTGTTAAATTTCTCCACTTTTACTTGCCCTATGATGTGGTCACTCCCATAAAATCTTTAAGAAGCGCTGACCGTTATAATGCGTTTTCTGACGATTATTGTTTCTTAACGGTGTCATAGTTAAACATAAAAAATTGACCAATAGCGAGTCGATTTCGTACTCCGAGGGTTCTGAATAAATAAAGTTACATTAATTTAAAGGTCGGAGACCTTGAAACTTGGTCTAGCAGATTAGCTTTCAGTTTAATTCAATATCTTGGGTTCAGTGCCTCGGTGTGCCCACTTTGGATTACAATGATTGTTTTTTTTTTTGTGTAAATAAATGTAAATGTTTGTAACTTAAAACAATTATACAGAAGATTTAACATTATATAACATGTACGTGCGTTATATATTTTACTTGTCTAGATAATAAAGTTTATAAGAACCTTATCTAAACCTACTTCAAATTTCAAATCAAATAGTATTATTGGTTTCTGAAATAAGTACTGTAATTGTTAGATATACAGGTGCTCCGTTTCGAGGATAATGAATTAATTTAGTAAATTAATACGATATAAACTCACAGCCAATTATCAACACGTATATGTTTTAAAACTATTATATTTGAGTCTAAACCCTAAAAATATATGTACGTATATCAAAAATATTATATTATAACATTGGACAATGTCAAACATATACAAGAATGTCATATATCAAAGGTTTATTTCGCAATAAAACAGAAATATTCATACAGCAATTAACAGGTGCCATGCGTACGGCGGACTTTGTTTTAAAACTGTTATTTGCATAATTTTTAACTTAATCGTTAGTCGTTATGTTAATATATAAAACTAGTTGTAACTCGCGGCGCTCCTCGCGTGTATTACTTACGTAATGATTTAATAATGTCATATCAAGAATCGACCACGTGGCAGCCAGGCATTTTATATAGGTATAGTAGTTTTTATAATTGGTCGTGTACTTTTCCTTACTATTAAGTACAGAGAAACAAATAAAATATGAAGTATTTTGGAATAAAAATTATAAATTTTAATATATAAAATTTATTATTTTTATTATATATTTAATAAAAATTATTTATTTTAAGACACGCGATATAAAAAATATTCTGATATTTTTTTCACACGTTGGAATACATTATCGAAGTTTCTATATGGATTCCTAACGGTTTTGAAAGTATACTATCAGGCAAAATGTAGAGTTCTACTGGTAAAAGATTTTTTTCAAATCGATCCAGTAGTTTCGATATTTCAATGCAAACAAACAATGAAATCATTCCTTTTTATAATATTAGTATAGAATATATAATATTAAACTAGCTGATTGCGACTGCGATTGCATTTCAATTGCAGATACTAGTACCTACTATATTTTTTTATAACTTTGTATATACAGACTTTAATCAGTTATTTCTTTTTTCACCAAGTTAAATCAAAATTTTATCAAAATCAGTTTATGCGTGATCAACGAATTACGAAAGATCTCTTTTTATTTTCGCGGCTCTTCATAAAGATTCAATTTATTTATATTTTATATCAAAATTCATCAAGATTGGTTCAGTGATTTAAGCGTGTAACAGACAGACAGATATACTGTAGTTTTATAATATTTACTAGTATGGATCTTATTAATATTAGTCAGGGTGTGCCCAAATATTGAATAGTTTTGTTAATTATAATTATATTTCATTTAATCATTCCTGCTTCTGGTTATGAGTCATAATTTCATAAAGTTTCTGTTATCAACTTAATTTTTATGGTATAGAATATTAATTGATATTTAATTAATTAAATATGTTAATTTATCACTGTTAAAAATGTATTGAGTACTCATTTGGAAATTGTAAATAAATGGTGCTTTCATTATACTAAGATATTGACAACCTTCGTCCATCCTCGTGATAACAATCTATATTCACGCCGATTTTTATTAAGATCAGTTCAGCCATTTACTTGTGAAAAGGTGACAGATAGACTCACAATAGCATTATTAATATCAGTATATTCTATACTATAATAATAATGTTTATTGAACTAATATTTAGTACAGCCTTGACAATATTCTTGCAAAAATAAAATTGCTTAGTAAATACAGCAGCGTTTTGTACACGTTTACTTTATAGTTAAACAATTCAAATAATATTAAACAACAAACAAATAAAAACGACATTGCGGTAACAAATAAATTTAAGTCCTTAATAAATGCATGCTGATGAAACAAATATCAATTCTAAGTAGTTAGATAATAATTTGTATGTTAAATTGGACACAATCCTTATTTTGCAGAATTATAGTGGGTACATAATAAACTAACCATACAGCAGTACCAGTACCAAAGAAAGAAAACTACCCCCCGTGCTAGTTTTTATTAAAAACTGTGTTACGGCAAGGTACTATTCGTATACTATTCTATGTAGATATAATCTACACCGATTTTCAAAAACAGCTAAGTCCATGTACTAGCACATATATGCTGCTTTTGAATGTTGTGCACTAATAGTTTCCTAACTTACTTAAATCCTCCAGGTCGTAGCTTCGAATCTGCCCGACAACAAAATACTGTCATGTCGTGATGAATAAAAAATGTAAATCTCCACTGTAACTCTCCATGTACCGCTCTTCTACATCCATTACTATACCTAAATGTGTTTATAAAAGAAAAAATAATCTAAATATATATAACTCAAAGGTGACTAACATTAAACCACTGGACGGATCGGGCTGAAATGTGGCATGCAGGTAGATGTTATGACATAGGTATGCGCTAACAAAGGATTTTGATTAATTCTACCCCCAAGGGGATAAAATAGGGGTTGAAAATTTGTATGAAACTTTGTCAATTTTAAACCGATCGGGCTGAGACTTTGCATGCTTAAAGCTACTATGACGTAGGCATCCCCTAAGAAGGAGATTTTGATAAATTCCACCCCTAAGGGGATAAATTAATGCGAGCGAAGCCGCGGACAAAAGGTAGTTTATCTATATGTGCCAATGTTAAAAATTTACTCTTTTTATGTGGGTACATACATGGTAAACAGTAACCGTTGTCTATATATATTAACAACACTACAGACATCACGTTATCATGTGACACCCGTGATAGACAGGTTCGCCATTCCATAGCTTAAAAAAGAAGCTATTTAGCTGCTTGAATAAGTAAAATTAAGGTACAAAGTAGATGAGTTTTTGCAGTTTACCTCTATTAAAATGACTAAAATTATATACTCAGTAATAAACGTCACATCCTACCCATCATGCGCATCATCGCGGGAGTTGATTAAATGGCTCCAACATACAGACAGACGCTGATAACGAGCTCAATTAATTGGTACACGTGTAAACATTTTGTTAGATAAACCCACTAAATGCCCGATACGCGAGGGTCTGCTGCTCGGGCATCTGTTATTAGATTTGGGTGATTTGTTTTAATGGCACTAATTTAAATTAAACAACATATGATTTTTCGTTTCTAAACCACGCTTAATTGGACAATTATGGAGATATGAGTACTGGCGTACATGAAATTTATAGACTAGTGTTGTGCTGTAAGGGCTATTCAGAATTACGATCCTTGTGAACGAAAAGAGGGTTTGACAAATGTAAAATTGTTTAACAAGAAGTTGTAGAAAGAAAATCAAGGAACCTACCCAATTTAAGCATATCATAATATTATATTCAAATTTAAAAATCATTTATTCATGTAGGACCTTTTAACCGCTTATAAACGTATTTTTTTTATATATTAATTTTCCCTAACGTCCATTTCAGTATATAGATCCAATTGAGTTCTTCGCAAAAAAATCAATTTAATTTGGTTTTTTTAATCCTAATTTATTTACAATGTTTAAGTAATTTTATATAGGTGTCTATGTCTATCATTAAATGAAAATCCCGTGCAAGAACAACTATTTATCACCCTGCACGCTCGTAATTCAAGTAATCGTTTAGTGAGTAGCTTTGTTTAGTGAATATGATTTAACAGATATTTTGAATTTATTTAAGGCTTATATCAGTATATTCCAGTATTCACGATTCACAAATTTTAATTATTAAAGTGTGACTTAATGTGACATTGGAGCGGGGAATAAAAATTACTGAAATGATGACGTAATTGATAGATGGCCCATAAGACAGATGTTAAAATATTGTTCTGTTCAACAAACTCCTTTGATTATTCCCGCCTTTCCTTCCTTCTGTAATTAAGACATTCGAAGTGACTATTTATAAAAAGGATGCGTCTCCGTAAACAATTCGAACGCGTTTTTAATGGACTTTTTATTTCCAATGTTGTGTTAAACTGAGGGTGTTTTGTTAAACTCAACTTAACGCGCGTTTTTCTATAACAGTGGCTGAAATACTTTTTTTTGTTGTTTCAGATTATCGAGCGAAGTCAATACAAGTCCTTGCGAGTCTGAATCGACATCAGATTCCCCGCCGTCCTTACTGCAGGATGCAGCATTACCTGCTCTCCTAGTGTCTGGAGCTACGACACTGTTCCAGAACACGACGACTGCGTCAAACTCGGCGTTGAGTTTATCAGCTGTAGACAGCTTATGCTTGCCTGGTAATTCGGAGGTGGAGAGCTGTAGTTTGGCGAACGGATGCGCGACGAGTGCACCGTTGGGCGGTCTAGCCCTGCCATTGACAACCACAGGCGGATTGTGTTCGACCTCTTCATCGTCTGCGGTGGCCTGGTTGATGAATGAAGATAGTGCGGGTGAGAACTTTAACCTTAAACTTTCTCATCAGCTAATTACGAATTTTATAGGTTGTACTAATCTCAGATTAATAACTAAACTAACTTTCTTTGGAGCTTTGAATAGTAAAGACTCTTTTTCTCTATACACCTCCTGTAAGTGTGAACTTTTATACTCCTGCCGACTGCCTGTCCGCGCAATTTCATAAAAAGAGCTACAAAGTTTTAGCTTCATAAATATAGTCAGGTGCTGAAAACATATTACGCCGACCCCAAATAAATGGGATAAGGAAGAAGCAGATGATAATGATGATGATGATATAATCAGGTGGTGTCAAGAGCGAGGTGCGCAGCCCCGGGCTGTGCGAAGCGGACGTGGCGCTGTACGGCGAAACGCTGCCCTACGACCAGACCGCGCTGCCCTACCAGTATTACAATAGGTAATTCTTTAAAATAATTATAACAATCTAGGACAATTCACACAGCGCCATCTATATCATCTGATATCTTATATATAAAATTCTCGTGTCACAGTTTCCGTTCCCATACTCCTCCGAAACGGCTTGACTGATTCTCACTAAATTTTGTGAGCGTATTGAGTAGGTCTGAGAATCGGCCAACATCTATTTTTCATCCCCCTAAATGTTAGGGGTAGTCCACCCCTAAATTTTCTTTTTTATTTTTTAGACAAAAATTTAGTTTCTATTTTATTATGATACAACATACAAAAAAATATACAATCCTAAATTTTCGCCCTTCTTTCTTCTTCTCTTTTTTTTTATAGCGTTATTAATGTATATGGCAAAACAACGTTTGCCGGGACAGCTAGTAAATACATAGTTTTTTTTATATACATACCTATGAAACTGTACTGTAAAGAATCCAACCCGCGACAATGGGAAGTAGGGCGGTTGGCTATACCGCCAGTCCATCGGCGCTGTTTTAAATTTGAGACACCTCGTCATACCTACAGGTCACTCCGAATAGTTACTATACTCAGTCGGTGGTTCGGGTTGATCTATACGCGGTCCCCCCTGGAATCCATCCTGGTTAGTTGTTACTGAATTTATCACTATGGGCTACCTAACTTGACTCAGCGTAGACTGGTGCGCCATACCATGTCATCCATACATTTTAATAATATTAAATAACCCTAGATAATTCACACAGCGCCATCTAGCCTCAAGTAAAGCAGAGCTTGTGTTATGGATACTAGAAAACTGATATGAATTCTTAGGTAATTTTTTATATATGCACACATAATATACTTAGAAAATACCCAGACCGATACAAACAATCATAGTCGTGAAAACAGATATGTACACCGTGCGAGGTTTCGAACCCACGATCATCGGAAGTAAAGCGGAGTATTAAACCGATATACCACCGAGGCCATTAAAATTGTTAATAGTCAGTGGCCTTAATACTTACTTTTTGAAGTTTGACCAATGACGAAGGTTGTCTGGAAGAGATTATCTCTTTTCAGTACAATTCTTATGTATTAATTCTATTGGTGCAATAAAGTATTTATAAAATAATAATCAACTTTTATATGTATGTACGAATATGTACTAGCTGTACCTGCGACTTCGTCCGCGTGGAATTTAACTTTATTTTTATATAATCATAGATTTTTTTAAATTAAATAATCCTATGTTACTTCTTATTACATCAGCTACTTGGCAATAAAGGCCCGTCAAAATCAGTCCAGCCATTTCAGAGATTAGCCGGAACAAACAGACAGACAAAAATTGTAAAAAATATTATTTTGGTGTATGTACCGTATTTATATTCATATGCATGTAGTAAAAAACAGTTATTTCAATATTACAAACAGACACTCCAATTTTATTTATATGTATAGATGTAATGTATGTTACTACCATGCCCGCCATCTTGTAGCGAATAGCAGAACTATAAAGTATTTTCTACAACCAAATAATTTATGCTACTCGGGTAGAATATATCTATATAATTTTGTATCATAAATACCAAATATTATTTTTTAAATGGACTATTAATGGTATCCTTACGTAAACTAACAGTTTATGCTAGTAATGAAGGTGAGAATGAGGTTAGCCCATCGTGATCAATTTTCACCAGGAATTAGCCACGATGGATTCCAACGAGGCGAAAAGTCGTCGAGTATTTTACTTACATAGAAATTGATTAATTTCCCATTATTAATAATTATTTTCTCCCAGTACTTTATTTTATAATACTTATTCTATATTTTAAATACTGACTTAAAAAAATAAATTTCATAAACCCTCAACAGAAAGGATACAAATAAAGATTTCAATGACAGTCCCGTACAGTTCTATAATATTTATTGCAAATCTTAATCGTAATTATGTTATAAACGCGAAAGTTTGTGAGTATATATAGATGGATGTTTGTTACTCTTTCACGCAACAACTACTGAACGGATTTTGATGAAACCTTACAATAATATACCTTATACACCAGGCTATAAATTTCATGCGAGTGATACCGCGGGAACAGTCTAGTAATGAATAAATAAGACGTAATTAACGCGCAAAATAATAAGTAGGTATTTACATATATTAAAATAATCGAACTAATTAATCTTTTTATACAAAACACGTGTACGATAAATATTATTAATAAACTTACACGTAGGTACCTACTTCAAAGTTATAAACAGATGTATCATCCCCACTAGTGACTTCTTCCTGAATAATATATTTTGCCAATTAGTTATCGCAATATGTAGGTGTTACCTATTTAATTAGTATCTGATATATTCTCAATTTCAGTCACGTAATTTATTAAACAAACACTATATTGTTATATAATTATTACTTTAGGTACGTATCTACCTAATATTAGCTACATTCCTGACTGTTTTTTTTAAAATTACGAATGGAATCGTGCACTCTTCTGCACTAACGATTTATGTTGGCGGGGCACCAGTGGAGGATGATAAGATGAACCTAAGGTCAGTTTAGTTAACCCATCGTGGCGAATTCACCAGGAATTTATCATGATGGTTTCCAGGGAGAAACGCATGGAGGTGAACCTGACATGGAGCATCACTAACTATGGGGCAACAGTCCACATTACTAACACTCCACTATCTCCAGTGTTTAAAAGATATGAGTTATTTATAAATGATGATACACCTTCTTTAGCTAATAGTAAACGTCTCCATATCCGGTTGACCTCCACGCGAGTCCCCCTGGAAACCATCGTGCTAAATTCATTGTGCATTTGTCACAATAGGATGACCGACCTGACCTCAAGCTCATCTTATCATCCTACACTGATGATTCGCCAGTTTATACCAATAGAGCAGTCAAAGCACCTTTCTATAATTTCATTCATAGAAAACACAGAAAACGTTTTGCGTTTTCGGAGTACAAGAATCGTCCCCTGATGTAACCATCAGGAAGATATATCAGGATGATTACATCAGGGGAGGATAATTGTACTACGACATTGTCCCTGATTTTAGTGTCATATATAGGTCGTTTTAAATGCTAGTTTATTAATATATATTTGTGTATATAACGTTATTGGTATGTTTTTTATTGTTGTACAGTATGCAGCAGTATGGTAGCGGCGGCGCGGCGTCCTCGTACGTCAGCTCCTCGCTCTACAACCAGCCTTATGCGGCGTACCCTCCACCGCACAATAGCAATAACAGGTAAAATAGATAATGTAAAGGATATACCAAGAAAAAGTAGGCAAGAAAAGGTTGTGTACTCAAGTCTGTACCATTTAATCATAGATAGACGGTACAAAGTCGTCTGCATGGAGTCTCAGTCCTTCGATTGTAGGGTGCAGATTAGGCAGGCTCCTTCTCTTCTTCGGTTCAGTGGGAACTAAATGGATGGCAATTGGACAAACAAAATTAGAATTATCTAGAATGGGTGACTGCAACTCATGAGTGGTATCATGGGTGTCACATGATAACGTGATGTTCATAGTGCTGTTTTTTTTATGTATGATGATGGAATGGTGCACCCGCCAGCGCTAACGGTTTACGCTGGCAGGGACCCATTGGACTATGATAAGATGAGTAAGTCAAGCCAGTTAACACATCGTTACAAATTCACCAAGAAGATGATCTTCTTGGTAGCAATGTACCATGTCAGGTTCACCTACCCGGTTTCCCCTGGAAACCATCGTGATAAATTCCTGGTGAATTTGTCACGATGGGCTAACTGATCTGATCGATCTGACTATCATCCTCCACTGGTGCCCCGCCAGCGTATACCGTTAGCGCAGGCGGGAACACCATCCCATTATCATCCATAAAAAGAACCACTAAAAGATCGAATAATAATAATAATAGGAGGAGAGCAATAATGAAAAATGTTGCAAAAACAGGAACTATATATTTAACCAAAAATGCTTCTGTTAGTTATGATGTCTTAGTAACATGTAACTCTGTATTCAGGTCCTCGTGCAAAGCGACGCCGACCTATCTAAGTGCGTACGGTGTGAGCGGGGTAGGCAGTGTGCCGAGTACGGGGTTCGGTGCACAACCGTCGCCATACACTTATTCGTCATACAACGGAGGTCTGGCCCAGTCGTTCCCTACAACGCAGCAAGTTAGTACGCATAGAACTAGTTTAAAGTTTACTGAACTCAACATTATTGGAGCCAAAATGGTGGGTATTTTCTGCAGTGCATATTTAGCTGTGCCCGTCAAGAAATGTATTATTCAATAACTGATCTGTTTGCTCTACATAATTATCAGTAAAAGTCGCATTTGAATCGGTTAAGCTGTTTCTGAGATGTGCGTGCGTGCATAACAAAAAAAAATACTATTTTTTGATTAGATATTGGTAATTCAACGTTTGATATTTATTTTTTAGGACTACAGCAGTTATGCAGCGGGTTACGCGGACCACAATGTGGCTCAGTACAGTGGATACTACGCTACGCCGAGCTACTCCCCGTACGTCAGCTCGCCTAGTAGCAGCGGCAGTGCTGGCCACACCTCGTATCATTTGGGGGGCGCTCTATCTGGTAATCATTTCAATAGTGATTACAAATTGCCTTAAAGCTCTCATTATTGCATAATTGACTATTTTCCAAGGATGCAATTGACTCAAGACTGCACCTTGTAGTAGTAAGGCATGAAGGTTATGAAGTGGTTATATGATCGATCGATACTATAATAATTAACTGATATGATGAATTATACCTACCTATTTAGTACCTACATGTTTACATAGTTGAAATTAAAATAGGCTATAGGTAATAATAGGTATATCGTAATACATGCATTACTATAAAAACTGTTTTTTCATGAGTAAGTATTTTAGCATTATTATTAAAATTCTCTCACAAAAACATTATGAGTCAACGAATAACGCGTAATGTGTATTTAGGTCGTATATAGTGTGAAATTATATACTCAAAGATCCGTTCTGATTTACAACCTCTAGTAGATTAAACCTATGGAATTTTTAACTAATGAAGATGTTGCACGTATACGTATAACCTAGAAAATAACTAGCTAGCCTAAATCCATGTACAAAGAACAGATTCATACATAGTATAATATCCTTCAAGGACTATAATTAATCATCACTAAATTCTTCCATAATAACGTAATCGAAAACCAACTTCTTTCAAATAATCGTAAAAGCAAACGGGCTGATTCATCATCTTGACGTTTACTTGTTGCAAACGTCAAATTTGATACTATTTTATTTACAAATCGCTGAAGCAATATATGCCTATATAAAGTTCTAGAAATTTTATTAGAATTAATAATTATTAAAATTATTATCTAACTAAACAATTTATAGATATTTTTACACAAATTATACGTATATAGTAAGAAGTAAAACTGAGAAAAGACAAATTCTTACATTCCAAGTCGATCTCATAGAGTATTTGCAAACATGAATAAAGAAAACGAGGAATTTCATTCAAATAAACGAAAAAAACTGAACGATAGTGATTCTGAGCGGCATTACGACGATAACTCCGATTATTGGCCGGATTCTGACAGTGAAAATGGTATATATTAGTGTAAAGTATGTTTGGACTATAAAAATTAAATTTGTGTAATTTAAGTATATGTTATTTGTGTAGATTCCCCATCGTCGATGCTTCCATCAATAAATGATACAAGTCCACTGTCGCCAATTAAAAGTGAAGTACATGCAGCTAGTCGAAGATGTAGAGAGAATTCAGGGTAAGTTCTAAAACCTCTAAATATGTTTTTCAATCATGAATGAATATGAACCGATACACCTGCCTGCGATAGCGGTATACGCTGGAGTATACGCTAGGATTACAGGGGAACAGTGGAGGTTAATAAAATAAGGGTGAAGTGAGGTCAGTTCATCATCAAGTGAGGTCAGGTCAGGTCATGGTTTTTAACCATGCAATGGGCTTTATAGAATGTCAAAATCTATATCAATATCCAATTGTCATTGAATATAGAAGATAGTGGAAAAACAGCCCAAAAAAAGCAACAATTTGCTTTATAATATTTACTGAAATACAGTTGAAATTGCTCACAATAAATTAATACTTTCAGAGAGAGTACAGCAAGTAGATCGCGAGGTCGTGGCAGACGGAACACATCCTCGTCACCAGCACAGCATGTGCCTGAGCCATCTACTGATCGGGTCTTCATATGGGATCTGGATGAAACTATTATCATATTCCATTCCCTATTAACAGGCACTTATGCCACTAAGTACAATAAGGTATGTACAGCCTCAGTGCTCTAGCAGTTATGCACTCCACTTAAAATTTCTAAGATTGCAGGTTCAATTCCTCGCACATTACAAATATTTATGTTCATAAGTATGTTTGTTTGTATTGTATATGTTTTCTATGTATATTATGTGTGTATTTACAAAAAAATATCTGTGTATTTATATGAGTTGTCTAGTATCCATAACACTAGTTCTGCTTAGCTTGGGCTGAAATGGCACTATGTAAATTGTTCAGGGATATTATTATATACATGTCTGGTCATCCCTAAATCCCTAAATTGCTCACATAGTAACGGTAGAGCAGGGGACTACAAACTGTGACTATGTGTAAAGAACAGCAAGAGGAGTCATAAGTTTTTTGATGCCACATTTTAGTCCATCCAGTTGACTTTCTTACCAATTCTTCTGAACTATAAGTATATAGCTAGCCAAAGTGGACAGTAAGGATAGTGGTAATAAATTATAACTTCATAAGAGGTGAAAAGGTCCTATAATGTGTTTTTTCGTTAGCTTTAATTAATGCAACTGCAACCTTTTTTATACTATCCATATTTTCCCTGGGATTTACTGATTTACATTTTAACTTTACAGGATACTCAACAAATAGTTCAATTAGGATTCAGAATGGAGGAAATGATATTCAGCTTAGCTGATACACATTTCTTCTTCAATGATGTAGAGGTAAGGTTTTTAAACATATCACAACATTTAAAGTAATTAATAAACCACATATTTTTACATATTAAAAATTACATTGCTTTATATAGAAATTGGCAATTGTCACCTTTTTTAGTAGTTGGAATGCCAAACAAAAAACCATCCAATGGTTACTGCTTACCATAAGAAACAGAGCCATGGGCTTGTTTGCCATACCATGTACATTAACAGCACCAAAGACACATCATTATGTGATAACTGTAATATAAATACCACTCATGCATTGCCATTCCAGAAAACTATACTGTAATTTCACCCTCTAGTCTGACTCTACACTTGTAACAGTTTAAGCTTACAGACCAAGCAGAATTGCAGCCCTGGCTGAAATGCTGCTGAGTCTAATTCTGCTATATTTAACCTGTAATCCGGAACAACAACAACAATTTTTTTTGTGGCAAATATAAGACAGATATAGCTAGATTGTTTTATACAAAGTTTACCTGCCTACCATGATTCCCATTTTTTTTATGGATGATAATGGAATGGTGCATCCGCCTGCGCTAACGGTTTACGCTGGCGGGGCACCAGTGGAGGATGATAAGATGAGCATGAGGTCAGGTCAGTTAGCCCATCGTGACAAATTCACCAAGAATTTATCATAATGGTTTCCAGGGGGTACCATTGTGACCGGGCTAACAATTCCCTTTCTCTCCCCCCCCCTCCCCCCCCACCGCAACATTCGCATTTGGCTGTTATAAATAAGAACTATTTATATTATAGGACTGCGACCAGGAACACATAGACGCGGTAGCAGCAGATGACAATGGCCAAGATCTATCTGCATACAACTTCGCGTCGGATGGATTCCATGCGGGAGCTGCACCTAACACCGGTTTATGCGCGCCTGGTGTCCGCGGCGGCGTTGACTGGATGAGGAAACTTGCTTTCCGATATAGAAAAATAAAGGACACATATAATAATTATAGAAACAGGTATGTTCATTTGTACTCTATTACATTATCTACCTGCCAAAAACAGTCTCATCAAAATCGATCCAGCCATTTCAGAGATTAGCCCGAACAAATAGACAGACAAAAATTGTAAAATATGTTATTTTGGTGTATATACCGTATTTATATTTATATGCAGGCAGTAAAAAACGGTTATTTCAATATTACAAACAGACACTGCAATTTTATTTCTATGTATACATTAATGAAATAATTAATTTGCCGTTTGGAACTACTAGAACAAACTAGAATACTAATATGTAGTTAAAGTACTAGAAGAGGTAAAAGGTGTATAACAAGATAAAATCTAGGACTTCTCCTAAGAGGTAAAAATTACTGAAATTGTTTTAATGTAAAGAACTTTTAAGAACTCTTTTACAATGAAAAATGGCCAGCTATCAAATAATTTATGACATTAAAAGAAATTAATATATATCAATTGAATCGCCTTGCTGTACCTATTACGCCATATTATTTTCCACCCGTTAACAAAATCAACAGGTATATTTCCGATTCAGCTGTCTTAACTAATTAGTACATTATTTCTAATTGACATCAAATCAGTTTGCGTCATGTTCTTAAACTAGAATGCAAAATATTTTTTTTCCTTATTTAGCATATTTTAATTAACAGTTTTGTTATTTCTACTATGTAAACATGTAATTGAACAAGCTGACGGTCCGACTGATGGTAAGGGGTAACTATCATCTATATTTTGGGGAAAGGGAATTGTTGGTGATTGATGTGGACTGTCAACCCCATTACTATCAATGTCCATTGTCAGGTGACCTCCACATGTTTTTCCTTGGAAAACCATCCTGTTAACTCTTCCTTCATCTTGCTAATTCCACTTATCCCACTGTTTTGTGTTGACTGGAAGAGATCACTTTTAGGATTAAGTCCACCTTTGCACATATTGTCTCTAAATTATGTTATCAATGAGGAAATCAGGAAATTATTCTATAAGGAATGAATTTGTCATTATAGGGTAATTGGCATCTCATGTTCATTTTATCATCCTCCAGCGGTGTCCCGCCAGCGTAAACCGCACAAGCAGTGCTCTGTTCCACTGTCATCCATTTAAAAAAAACTTTCGCCTATATGATCTGCAATACGCCCGTACAGTAATATGTGCAGTAGTTTTTTATTGATACTGGACTGAATATCGGATTAACGCAGGATGTGCCAGCATCCTGCGTTAATGATAAACATTGGCGAGCTACTAGGATGACATAAACAGCACGAAGTGAAAATAGTTAGCTCAACGTGATAAATTGACGAGGAATTAACCACAATTATTTCCAAAGAGGATCATAGTGAGGTATATTGCTGGCTATATTGCAGGGCTAGTAGTTTTGTTTAGTAGTGTCCCATTATTAACAGTGAATGCTCCTCTTATATACAGTGATTTATTTAAAAATATGTTTATTTGTATACATATAAAACAAATTCCCCCATTGATTCTGTCTGTATAAACTCAAACACTAAACGATTTTCTTTAACAACAGATTGATTCCTGCACATGTTTTAAATGTATAATTGAGTAGTTTTGTGTACGCTAGTTTTGTATTAAACTTTAATTTTCTATTTTACAGTGTTGGCGGTCTATTGGGTCCAGCAAAGAGAGAACAGTGGTTACAGCTCAGGGCGGAGTTGGAACAAGCCACTGACAACTGGTTGACCCTGGCTTGCAAATGTCTCAACATGATTAATTCTAGGTAGTAACTTATTTTATGATAATAAAAAGAAATGCCGAACCAGATGGAAAATGGTAACCATTATGTATATAGGCTATTAGAATAAACATGTACTACACAATTACTGTAAAAAGTACCAACTTTTTAAGCCATATATTGTCGCGAAATTCATCGATTGAAAGCAAGACTATATATCCAATTCTAAGAAAAGAAAATAAAGACATAACTTTAATATACATTAAAAGTCATACATGCATGCATGCATGAATTATTCACAATACATCTTGAAAATCAGAGTGAAAGCAACCACCTCAAAACCACAGATCATCAATCATCCATAGATAACAGATATGGATTTGGCACTTATGTGACAGTGACATTAGCACAATATATAATATTACACTAAATTTTTAATACATAATATTACATGATTAGCATTACAGACGACAAAACAATATTCCACTTACGTTAAAAAAAGTATAAATAGTCTTTCTTTTGCATATTATGTTATATTAATTTAATATCTATATAACAGGGAGAACTGTGTGAATGTGCTAGTGACCACGACGCAACTGGTGCCCGCTCTAGCCAAGGTGTTGCTGTTCGGGCTCGGTGGAGTGTTTCCCATTGAAAACATATACTCCGCTACTAAGACAGGTCAGTGGATATCATTCATTCATTATTTAACGTTAATTGACGTAAAAAACTGTAAGTCCGATTTTTATTTTCATACCGATGTAAAAAACGATAAATCCTATTTTTATCTTAATTCTGAATATAGAATTGCGGTTGGGTTTCTGATTATAATAATAAAGAGGAATATGGACAATATATGCTCTATATGTATAATTAGTAAAAATCACGGGATCTTACCACGTTTTATATTTATTTGCTGAGTTCCCGATATTTAGTTTACCCGTGATCATGGTGGTTGAAACACTACCGAAATATCGGGAACTCAGCAAATAAATATAAAACGTGGTAAGATCACGTGATTTTTACTAATTATACGTATAAATAATGACCGCGTCAAGTTTAAAACAGTAAATATATGTTCTGTTTTAACCCAATATCTATTGTAGTAAATCTGTGAAATACAGTGCTGGATTATAATTATTACTTCCTAACACAGAAGTGTCTAAAGTCAAGAATTTGACTTAAGAATTTATAAGTAATAATTATTCATTCATATAGGATAATTTCAGAAAAAAAAATTACTAAGTATAAAAAAAAAATTTGTTTTATAGGATTTGTTTGCTGTGCCCAAATTAAACGTTAAATAAATATAAAGTAAAATATACTAATTATTACATAAAACTTTACCATTAATTAAGCAATGTTTTGTCAGGAAAAGAAACGTGTTTCGAGAAAATTAAGCAACGCTTCGGCGAGAGGTGCACATACGTTGTGATTGGAGACGGCCAAGATGAGGAGGCCGCGGCCAAAGCGAAGAATTACCCATTCTGGAGAATATCCAGCCACTCGGACATAGCCGCGTTGTACAACGCACTCGACATGGGCTTCTTATGATTTGCTGTTATCCTGGTACTCGTTCCGTTGTAATTACATACCTTAAATTAAATTGGGCATTATTTAAATAAACAAAACTTAATAAAATTGCAATTGGAATCGTAATTGAAAGTATAAAAAGTATAGAAATTGTTTTTAATATTATCGCAGTTTAAAAATGTTGGATGCTCTGTAGACTTAGCTTATACCACAGTAGCAAAATTTAACAAGACAATAACCATACAGCTATTATATATGACGAACTGAGTCAATCATTGCAGAGACTATCACAGAATTTAAAATACTACTTAATACATACACAAAATATTCAGTTATCTTTTTGCTATTACAATGTGAATATATCTTTATCTCACAGCAGAAGGCCATATAAGATACACACTATGACATTTTTAATTTGTTTTGTTAGAATTTGTCACTGTGTACATGAAATGACGAAATTAGGTATAGATTTGTTAAACCATAAACAAACTAATACTTAATGTCCCTTTAAAAGTACAGTTATATTTATATATAATTTTTTTAAGTTAGTTGGCCTAACTCATATTTACTTTTTAGTTTAAAGCTCAAAGTTAGCTCAAACTCTACGAACAAAAAAATAATTGTATATAAATTGTAGAAACTCTACATAGCAGTTAAGTCCATCCCTACTACGTAAGTTTTATATATTCTATACATTGTACAGATTTAGAGAAGTTTTATAGTTCAATGAATATATGAACGACTTCATATTATTTTATTATTTCTTTGTATGCAAGACATGCATCAAACGAAAGACTTGTTCCTCTGCTTTTGAGCACAATTTTTATAACCATTTCAACAATATATATGTTGCACATTTAAAAAAATAAGGCGATAGTTTACGAAAGGCCTAAATCATATTAACGAGAGCTCAGGAGAAAAAATAAGCGATAAATACTTGGGGTTTGTGCACTATTGTAGGCCAAACTGATATTAGAAAATGACTGAATCAATAGCATAATTCCTCCCCTACAGACTATAGAAAATAAAATCAACTTATGAAATGCCACAACAGACAATCATCTAAATATTCGAATAATATTAGTAGAATTTTGGTAACTTGCCAATCGCTCATTATAACTGAAATGTACCAATACAATTTTGTTGCAGTATTTTAAAAAAGTATTTAAAACTATTTTTCTCTTGAGGGGGAAGGTATAGGTACAGCATCACCTAGAAATGGCACAGTCTTTTATATATCATTTTTAAAAATGAAATCATATTTCTATCATATTAAAGTATATCTCCCTCTTGAATTATAATACAGTGGACCCGCGGTAATCCGGCCCCTCTTGTAATCCGACATGGTCTATTATTTATTATTGAATATTTTTTTGACAATATACTTCAAAGTGCATATACATACATACATATATAACATAGAATCTTGTCACTGGATCTGTAATTTGTCGGATTACAACATACTCTTTTGTAAAAAATTCCGGACTATAGGGGACCCTTAGGCAGCCCTCTATAACTCCGATGTCCGATGTAAGTTCGATGGTCCGACACTGCCTTGCAAAACGTTTGTCGGATAACCGGGGATCCACTGTATATATTAATTATTTTCCGATTCCTTTAGTATTGCTCATAACTTACCATCAAGTTAGCCGCAAGCTCGTTTACCCCATATGTAATTAAAAAATTGCCTATATAAATTCAAAACGGGTCTATTAACGTCAATAGGTGTATTACCTAGGAAGCTCCATTCGTTTAGATAATAATTAGTTGCTGTACCAACGATTCAGTTGTAAAAGACTTTATTTTGTGGAACGTAGCAATATTTGTAATGTTAAATGAAATAGACAAATTTAAGAATATGTAAATACAAATTAAAACGTTAAGTTAGCTTCTCGATGTTTGCGGAGCGGTGCGGTGTGATGCGGTGCGGTGCGGTGTGATGCGGTGCGGTGCGGTGTGATGCGGTGCGGTGCGGTAGTTTTCGTTTAAAGTTAGCAAAATAACGCGTCGGAATTGTTCGCACCGAACCGCAAGCATCGAGGTGGTACCTATAGTATAATGAATATAGCTTATTCTTATTACGTTCTAATAGGAATATGGAATTTAATTCGAAAGTTATCATTAATCGAATTGTAAATAAAATTATATTATTTGAGAATTTATATAGTTATTGTTTTATTTCATTCACAAAGACATTCTAAGCCTTATCCAGACACCTTTATTTGTTACTAGCAGTTACCCGCGAACGCTGTTTTTAAATAAGGATAGATTTTCCTTAATAATATAAGTAGTAATAATAAAATAAGTATAATCTAGTGAAACAATCAACAGTCAAACTTTATTGATACCCTTTAGTCCTTTTTAGTCGAGAAACGGCAACAAACTTTCGCATACTTTCGCATTTATACCTTAATGCTTTAATTCGTATTAATATTCGGATTAATAACAAATTAATGGATTGCTTAAAAAGATATATGTTATATAATAATAATAATAATAATAATGTTTATTGAACTAATATTTAGTACAGCCTTGACAATATTCTTGCAAAAATAAAATTGCTTAGTAAATACAGCAGCGTTTTGTACACGTTTACTTTATAGTTAAACAATTCAAATAATATTAAACAACAAACAAATAAAAACGACATATATAACAAAATAAATTTAAGTCCTTAATAAATGCATGCTGATGAAACAAATATCAATTCTAAGTAGTTAGATAATAATTTGTATGTTAAATTGGACACAATCCTTATTTTGCAGAATTATAGTGGGTACATAATAAACTAACCATACAGCAGTACCAGTACCAAAGAAAGAAAACTACCCCCCGTGCTAGTTTTTATTAAAAACTGTGTTACGGCAAGGTAATGAGTCAAGCTCGGTTCATACTAATGATACATTTAAATATAGGCTCTATTGTATTCACTTACAGTTGATTTTTACATTCTATTACTGTTCACATACAACATGAAATAAGCGCGTGATCATCCAAAGGGGCAAATAACAAACAGTATATGCAAACGAAACAGATAAATATTCGGATTACAGACTAATTCATAAAAAGAAACTTAATAACTACTACCAGACAATTTATTAATAATAACAATATATTTACTATTTCTATGTTTTGAATATATATAAATATACACACGCACACACACACACACACACATATATATACATCTTTTACAGTATATTTCTTACACATATTTAAATATACATTCTATATACGATATATATTTACATAGACAAATACGTGATTATTTAATGGGATTTGTATAATAGAATACACAATAAATTTTATCAATAAGATACTACTAATTATAACATAATAATGTATAAATGTAAATACAGTACATATATAATGTATATATGTATAAACGTATACAATGTAAATATTCCACTAAAGACAGATGGACACAAGTATGGAGTATATTTGTTAAAGCATTAAATTATTTTAATTATCCATTCTATATATACCCATTTATACATAAGTTTTAATAGGTTTTCAGTTCCACAATAATCCAATTTATTCAAGAATACATGCAGTGCCTCTCGACATCTATGTCTCGACATACTTTTCAGCGGTACAGTTTTACAGATGTGATTGTATAAGAAAGGTGCTAAGAAGTAAGAAAAACCTTGAGCAAATGTTGTTCTACATGCAGGAACCCTATATGCCTCATGCAATCTTCTACCAGAACATATAATTTTAGGATCTAAACACGTATGTTGTCTAAGTATAGCAGTTTTGATAAAAAGCTGTCTTACGTTCAATACCTTAAATTGTTTGTATAACTCCGTTGTTGAATATCTAAAATGTTTAAAATTTATCACTTTCAGAATACATCTTTGGGCCCTTTCTATTTTCAGAAGAGTACTTTTTCTGGCACCTCCCCATACTGAAATGCCATATGTACATATAGACTGACACAGAGCTATGTACACAGTTTTACTAACCTTTTTATCTTTTAGAGATCTAATTCTTTTAAAAATCGGTATAAGTTTTCGCATTCGAGATTTTATAGTTTCAATATGTTGTTTCCAATTCAAATTTTGATCTATTACAATTCCAAGAAGACTATCTACCTTAGAAAGAACAAAACAGTATTAAAATCCAGAAACATCACAAGTATGCATTCTCAATGTAAAATTTATATTAGGTTGTAAATTATTTCTCATCGAAAAAGTTATATATTGCGTTTTATTCAAATTTAATGTCAATATATTGTAGTCCAACCAATTGGCTACTTGGCAGATACCCTTTTCTGCTGATAGTCTAGCCTCCTCCCATGTAGAACCTTCAAATAAAATAGCTGTGTCATCCGCAAAAGTTATTACTTTACCATTTTGTATTTTCATATTACATAGACTGTTTACATATATCAAGAAGAGTGTAGGTCCTAGAACGGAGCCTTGAGGTACGCCAAATGTAAGATATTGTCTGGAACTGTACAAATCTCCTATTCGAACTTTTTGTGACCTATTTGATAAATAGCTTTTAAGATAAAGATTCTAATCTGTGTAATAATAGGGGACCAATCAAATGCTTTGGCTATATCTAGAAATACCCATTATTTTCTTCTTCCTGTCAAGATTTTCCAATGTGAGTTACTAAATTTTCGATTGCATCAATAGTCGATTTCTTTCCCCTAAAACCAAATTGATTTTGACCAGATAGTTAATCAAACGTTTATTAATAATTTTTTCCTCTTTTTGATAGAATTGGTGTTGGGTAATTAGCCAATCTTTATCCCCCGTTTTAAAGATGGGAACTACAATGGAGTATTTTAAAACATCAGGAAACTTACCTGATGATAAACACAAATTACATATATGAGTAATAGGTGCAATAAGAGAATTAATGTTTCTTTTGAAAAATATAGAAGACATTCTATCCCAACTGACAGAGTTACTATTCTTTAGCGACATGACCGAATGGTCACAAAAGAATTTAATGGACCATTTTCACTTTTGGAGATAGATACTAGTTTATGTTCGGTTAGGTTTAATCTGTTTAATACATTATTTGCCAGTTTCTTTCCAATAGTTATGAAATTGTTTATATAATCAAGGTGGAAGTTTTAATCAATCCATACATTTAACGTAAGGTATACTATATTTTTACATTTTTGCAAAGATTTATTATATGCGTTTTTTAAATTGTGGAGAATTTTATTGCAATGATTTCTGTAACGCTTGTAGTTTCTAAGATTTTATCATTGGGTGATTTTATGTGTCTTTTAAAGTGTCTCTGAATCTCATTGCTAACAGTCAATATTGATTGTCTGCAAGGTATGTCGCGTCGATTTATTAATTATTGCAAGTAGTGTATCCATAAATATCTCGACTTTATCTGGGTCATTTATTAAGAATATGTCCATCGCATCATTAATAGTTCAACAACCTTATTATAATCCATTCTATCAACAGTTTTATTTTTGAGATATTATTGGACTGCAATGTTAATGTCATGTTAACATACAACATGGTCATCTTATCATTGTTAACATTCTAGTATCTGATTTAACGAAAAAATGATCAAGACATTTATCAAAACAAAAGAATAAAAGAAGACAGTTGTTGCAAGGATCCAGATATTCAACAGCATCATTACTATCCTTGCCAATATTAATGTTAATATCTCCAAAAGTAAATGTTAGGAATCTTTTTAATATCAGTTAATAATTTGTCCAAGGAACTTATGAAATTATTTGGCATGAAGGAGATCTATATACGCATATGAATAAATCTCTGCCGACATTAACAACTAGACAGTCTGCATAAAATTTGGTTCATATACATGAATATTAGTTAATTTTGGATTATCTGGTTAATTTACAAAATTATAATATAAATATGTGTACAAACCTAGAAAAAAAATTCAAGTTTGTTCATGTCGGTAGTCAGGACAACGAGTGTTGCTTAGCAACAAGTTACAAACATACAAACATTGTCAAATCATCGGTGTCAACAAAGGTGGTAAAAATAAATGCAATTGAAGTAAAAAAAATATTATAATTTCAAAATGAAATCTGTTGTTAACACAATACTATTTGATATATCAAAAAACGAGATATTCAAAATAAATGAGAATTATAAACTACTTCATAGAAAATTGAAAACTACGTGGAAAGTTATGATGTAAGTTGTTAAAATAATAACTAAAATATATTATTAAAAGGAGTCCCTTTAGGCAAAGTTCCGAAGATACTGGCAGCGGAATAGCTAGACAGTCCAAGGTAGCTGCCAGCTCTTCGGTCTTCTGTGATGTCGACTAACCTTATCGTTATTTCTTTGAAAAGTCTTATGACTAACCTTTTCGTTATTTCTTTGAAAAGCTTATAGCGCTAGGACCCCACGGACCAATTGTTAATGTCGTTCGAAATAGGTAAAATATTAATAGCATGCTTTGTAAAAAATCGTCTGGATGAATCTGTCCCACCTATTTTAATAACCAAGCATTCTTTGTAAGCGCTAATTCAGATGTAGGGTGCAGAATAAGAAGTCAAATTACACGATAAGAAGATTAAAGAATTCAAACCAATCGGAGTCCAAACGAGAAATCTTAATCCATCCAATTATTGACGTCCTTAATTCCTCTCTAAGTTTGTGGGTATCCTTTTTCTTGATGATATGGTGCACCTGCCTGCGCTAACGGTGTAGGCTGGCAGGGCATCAGCAGAGAATGGTAGGATAAGGATGGAGTCAGGTCTGTTAGCCCATTGAAGTCAGGAATTTAATCAATCCATACATTTAACGTAAGGTATATTATAACTCAAAACTAATATAGTACATAGGGGGAAAGGTGAAAAATAAAAGTTCCCAATAATAACGCGGTAAACCATCGTGGTAAACTGCTATTTACCAAGATGGGCTAACTGACCTGAACTCATGGTCATTTTATCATTCTCTATCGGTGCTCCACCAAAGTAAACCGTTAGCACACACGGGTCCATTTCATTATAGTCGATAAAAAAAATTGCGTAGATCTAAATAAATAAATAAAGTAAATTTTTCCTTCTTTATTATCAATTTACAAAATAAAATAGAAACTAAACAGCAACTTAGCATTATGCTGGAAATATTCTAGTAATCGGGATGAACTCTCCCCAAACATCCTTCAAGACGTCAAGATCCTAGTAGTAGCTGGTCCTCAGAACGTGTTCACAGATGAGGAGCTGTCCTGCTTGAAGAGTGTGGTGGACAGGGGAGATTCGGTACTAGTCGCTATGACTGACGGCGGCGAGGAACGGATGAATACGAATATAAACTTTTTTTTAGAGGAATATGGTATTGTTGTTAATAATGGTAAGTATTTACTATATTCCCGTATAATAATAATAATAAAACCTGGACAATTAACACAGCGTCATGTAATCCCAAGCTAAGCAGTGTTTTTGTTATAGAAACTGGTAAAATTATTTAAATGCATCTTTTCAATTCATACATAATGTTCATAGAAAACACCCAGTCCAATACAAACAATCATACTCATAAGATGCCATATACCTATATAAATATTTATATCTTGTGAGGAATCAAACCCCCAGTCATAGGAAATAAAGCGGTGTATCGCTAGACTATGAAGACTGTTAATAAATAAAACAGTGAAAGTGTAACTAAGAAAAGTTTAAGTGTTGTATATAGATAAATTGACAAAGAAGCTGACGATTCATGTAATCATAAATGGTAATCGACAGCTATATCTGTTGTTGACCTTTATGCAAGGAATCGTCTGCTCCTCTTAACTACAAGTTAAGAAACATGAGTGGACACAGTAGGTTAAAATTGTTTGTTTAATAATTTTATCTCACACACCTCTACTTCCATGCTGCCCTGGTGATTTTAGATGAGATGATTATCTCACCTTTCCAATGAAACGAAGCCTTGTAGTTTAAGAGCAGGCTGCTTGGCTGCTGAAATTTGTGAGACACAGGGGCATCTTTCTCACCTTTCATTTATCATCAATAAGGCTTTGTAGAAAGTCTACCTAATTCCATCTTCAGATCTAAATTTTACACTTACAGATTGCGTGGTACGTGCTAAATACCACAAGTTCTACCACCCGAAGGAATGCCACATATCCAATGGTATCTTGAACCGCGCCGTCATGAAGCATATTATGAAAATGCCAAATTACTCCAGTGAATCTGATGATTACCTGTAAGTCTAGTAGTGTTAGCATTTATTTTTAAGCTAGTTTTTTCTAATTTGTATTATATAGTATATAGAGTGAAAAGTACTAGGACTGTATGATGTACTCGAAGTTAAACTGTAACTACTCGGATTAAGTCTCGATGCAAAGTATATAAGTACATAAATACTATAGTATATATAACTATATACTGTTACATATAGTATTTGTGTACTATATGTATAGAATATATATCAATTAATCTAGCGTCGTAACTCCTAAATAAATCGACGGTTTTATTTGAAATCTGAATCTCGAATGAAATCTCGCTTCGCAGCTTTAATGTATTAAAATATATTTTATTCAGGGGTTACTTAAAATAGCCGTGGAAGGGGAGTGGTGGATTGTTCGACAATCAACACTATCTCTGACTACCCTACAATAACAAACATTCAAATAAACTAACAAATACAAACATTCCTAACGGTATATTTATTCTATTTATAGAAATAATAATTGTATTATTTCAGTGAGGACCCGGCGACGCCTAACTTTGTGTATCCGTACGGCGCCACTTTGACCGTTAAGAAACCAGCGGCAGCCATTTTATCCAGTAGTGACGTATGCTACCCGGTCAAGAGGCCGGTAGCAGCCATGCATACCTCTGAGAAAAGTGGAGGCAAGTCAATTTTTAGGATGGTACTATATTATAAATGTATATCTTATATTTGACGTCGTTGTTGGGTCAGGGAAATTAATTACAAATCTATTCAAAGGTTTTAATATTATCAATTCAAGATTATCTCTTTGCTGGAGATTTTACGTAGTTTTCTGCTTTAGTCATAGGTTTTTTGTTTAAAAAATATAAAAACGTCCACAATAGATGCAAGCGTGCAAAGTCAGGGCGGGTCGCCAGTCCATAGTAAACATATGTAACAATTAAATATAACATGCGAGTTTTATTTTCAGTTGTATATAACAACTATATTATTTACTGCAGGTAGTAGGTAATATTATTGTATTTGTCTCTATTTTTTTAATAATATATAGCCTTCATGAGTCGATAACACCCTTAGCTTTCTGTAGGTGAAATAATATTAAAATAAATTAAGATTTTTTCAGTTATTCTACTGCATACAATTTTTTTTCTTTATGATATTAGTTAGCTGTGTTCTGTTGAAGGATATGAGATGGCATGTCCTCCGGAATGAGAACGGATGAAGGCTATTATGAACATAGCATGATGACATGATGTTCATAGTGCTGCTCATACACTTGTTATTATATAGATATTAGATATGCATACATTACAGTACTCTTTAAAAATGAGTGCTTTAATTTTATTTTAGGCAAATTATTTGTAATTGGTTCCGGACATTTCTTTGCCGACCAGTACCTGGAGTGTGAGTGCAACGACCTCATCCGTGAGATGATATTCAATCATTTGGGCGGAGTAACGGACTTACATCTGAATCCTATCGATGTGGAAGATCCTGATGTAAGTACATAGTTCCTGCATGTTATGATACCCTAATAGATATGTAATTTTAAGCATTTATCTATATATAAATTTAGGTATCTCTCGGCAAATCTGCATTCCGACATTAGGCTTATTTTACAGCTATACGGCAATCTGAGTTTTGCGAAATATGTCTTAGAGCTGCCGTACATTCCCGACGAGAATCGGAAGGTTCATGCTAATGACGTATTCGATAGTTGCTACTCCCCGCTATCTTTGATAATGCGCCAAGTGAACGGTACGGCCCGTACGGACTGAACCTGATAATGTGAACCTAGTCGTACATTATAATAATAAAAATGAGTCTAATAATGGACAGTTCACACAACACTATCTTGTCCCAAGCTTAACAGAGCTTGTGTTATAGATACTAGACAACTGATAGAAATACTTGATTATTTTTTTGAATACATACATAGGTAATATGCTTAGAAAACACCCAGACCAATACACAACCATACACATGAATATAAATGTTTACATGGGAGGAATCGAACTCGCGACCATAGGAGGTAATGTAGTATGCTTAACCCCTAGACCGCCGAGATCTTAATCTTTTTGTTACAAAAATGGATCAAAATAAATAATGTAATAACTATAATGTTACCAAATAATATCTGAGTGTATTAAAATACATCTTATGAATTGATTTCCAGACCAATGAATACCGAACACTTGGTGACATGATGTGGCTCAGCAGCGTGCCACTGCCAGAGCCAGCGACCGCCCCTCCACCTCGGCTGGTGCCATTACACCCCCACGCGCTATTCACTTGGAAGTTGTTCTCTCTGAACCTCGCTCAGTGTTAGTATGCACATTTACATTGGAAGAAAATTGGTCTGTTTGATGAATACTGTATTTTATATTAGTATTCTCAATTGTTTGTTTTTAATGTTATAAATGGCGTATCAATAATGTAAGATGACAGAATGATAATGAAAGTCTGGTCGCATACAAGACCATTCTTTCAAATTTACTACAATTGACTAGTCACGAAATTTGACACTTTATTACTAAGAATGCATGCGTCCTTAGAAGTCTATGTGTGAGTGAGATAGATAATAATAGCACAGATAAGAGCATCATGTAATTTCGTTACAGTACCAGAAGTACTAGGACTGTATGATGCACTCGGAGTTAAACATGAACCACTCAGATTAATTGCTCCGCAATTTGAAACACCTTTCCCACCACTACAGCTCGCAGTAAGTATTCAAATATACTAGGAACACTACAGTTTTCCTTTAATTTGACCTCTTGTATGCTTCACGGCCTCTGGTAATGTGTTTTCATTTTACCGAGGTACACTTTAACAATGTCGTCTGTTTTGTTTTGTTGGTATATCTATTCACTAACTTGTGCCTGTAGCAAGGTGTTTTGCAATCTGTAAGCCGGTCTTAAACATGAATAATGGCAGTAAAATTATGGAGTCGGAAGGTATGTTACTTTAGTGTTTAAAATCGGCAACAAAAATAAAAACTTTGTGATACTACAAACATCACAAAGTTTTTGTAATGTTCATAGAGCTGTTATTGACTAACTTGTAACGTAACTTGTTGTTGGCAACCGTTGAATGTGTATTTGACAGCTCGTTTGTTATTTCAGTATTATAAAACAGCTAAATATCCATTGTTTTGAATGTTTTAGGTGTTTCCACCCACTTTTCGGGAACCACCGCCACCTCCATTGGAATTATTTGACCTGGATGAAGCGTTCAGTTCTGAACGTTCCCAACTCGCTAGACTTGCAAACAAGTGCCTTCAACCAGAAACATCCAGGATGGGAGGAGGTAATGACAGTTATTATTTCTACAGAAATAGGTTACAGGCAACCGCGGACTCTCAAATTTATTTGGTTTGGTATTGAAGTTTCATCGGAGACTCAATCAGAAATATTTATTTTATTATAATGACCATTAGCTTAGTGTGGGATAATAGATAAATTACATCTTAAATTAAGTTTTCTATTAAAGTAAGTTATTCATATTCTTCTAATAAATCTAGCTTCAAACAACACTTTTAAAGAAAGAGTATGTGACAGTTTCATTACAGTCAGATTGTTTGTAAGAGAATGCTTATAGCTATAAGATTTGCCCGTTCTAATTCAACTTTTTTTTAGTGTGTGGTCAATTTCGACAACTACGCGAGTAGTTTTTGATATTATATATTTGTATTATTAGGAGATGGACGTCAGCTGGAAAATGAATTGGAATATTTTGTGAGGGAGTGTGGACGCGTGGTACGTCTGTCACGTGCATCACCCCCTGAGGATGCGCCCGCTGGGAAGATCATATTGCATCAATTGGCCGTTCAACTCGCAACATATAAGAAAATAGCTCCCCGGGATTAATTAATAGAATTAGCAGATATACAAACAGAATACGTACAAATGCCACGGGTTACAATAGTCCTTAAAATAGTCGACGAAAATAAAAGACTGAGACTTCACTGAAATATGTCTGTTCATCATAATATACATAGTAATATTAACTTTTAGTAATTTATATATATATATATATGTATGAACTTTAAATATTACAATTAATAGAGATGTTAAATGATTATACTGTACTATACATTCAAACTTTTTAGTGAATACTTGCACCAATGTAAAAGATAGACTTCATACCAGTAATGGACTTAGATTTTATACGGTGTTATTAATAAGTGGAAGTAAAGTTATTATATTATGAGCAATTTTTATTTATACTTGGAATTTATGTTTGCCAAAGATTTAATAATAATTTGCAATTATTTATTTGCAAATTATTTCGAATTCAATAAAAACAATAAAAGCGCGTATTTTGTAATGTATACAGCTATTGAAAAATGGATATTAAAATTTCTTGGCCAATTGGCCAATGCTATCAGAAAACTCATAAAACTAACACAATAAATACAGTTTATTACTATGATCAATATTTTCACAATTGTATTTTGTAAACAATGAAGACATTGCTTGTTGTATTCATAATTTATTTAAATAATGCTATATGCGACAATGACTTTCTTAAACCTACAAAACTTGTGAAACGCTATCCAAAGAAAGTAATAACTGATGTGAGGCAAAATATACACATACTCCATTCAAAAAATATTATAAAGCCTCAACCTGCAGTATTCCAATTGAATCCGAAGAGGAAAAGGACGAAATATAATTCGTATACAGCTTTCCCAATAGCGAGTCTAGATCAGAAAGGGGTTGATATACCGGATAGTCCTTACTTTCCATTTAATGAAAACGTTGAAATTAAACCTAGAGTCAAGAAGGTATTACCCAGCACCATTTTAAATATATCAAGAAAGAAAAGGTCTGCTCCGGTAAAAAACAAACTCAGTATCAAGAGCAATGACGCTAAAGTAGCAAAACGAAAGATAAAGGACAAGAATGTTTCTTCAGGAAATAATCATGAAAGCACGATAGATACCGAAACAAGTAAAAATAGCAAGCACCGTGCCGTAAAAGATGTTAATAAACCAAAAAAGGACAGAACTATTCCTACACATTCTAATGCTACAATAGTCAAAGGTAGAAAAATAAAAAATGTAGCTAATAAAAATAATTCTAAAGTTAAAAACAATACTGCTTTTAAAAAAAGTAAGCCCAAACAACATAATAAACATGGTCGCAAGAAATCAAAGAAAATTAAATCTAAATTTCATTCCATAAAGAATACAAAAAATGCTACTAGGCATCCAATTAAGCCTAAGTATACAGTTAGAGAACCATTCTCAGAATCGAAAGGAAAAGACCGTAACATTCATAATAAAGATACGGTCTTTTCACATGTAAAACCACCAGGGCATCATAAGAATAAAGGTGTGTAAGGTAGAATTTTATTAAATAAACGATTGAAACACAGTGTTCATTCATTTTTCCTGAATCCCTTGTAGTTAAGAGGAGCAGACGATTAGTAGCTGCGAGAGACGCATTAATAGAAGAGTACCCGTATGTGGTGTCGATACAGAAAGGCGGAGAGCATTGGTGTGCAGGAGCTCTGCTGAATCCACGACTTGTAATCACGACAGCCAATTGTATCTGGAAGTGAGTATTCTAACAACAATTTTCGGTCGAAAATTTAGAATTAGTTACGAATCCCGGATGGTCAACGTTTGAGAAATTATGCCTTAAATATCACACAGTTTAGAAGCGAAATAAATTCTTTAATTAGTGTGTATTGCTAGAGATAACAATATATATATGAACTAATGTTGATGAGACACATAATGGAGAATCAGTAAGCTGGATAGCGAATGAACCCCACGACCTTAAATATTTTGCAAACAGTTGATATATGTTTGTGGCTCGTGCTGTAGGTACTTTCTGAGTTAGGTTATACTGACGATTATAAAGGGACAGAACTATTTGATGCTATCGTGCAATCGATAATGTGCTGATTGATTTTAAACTGAATCACATTGGATTCGGTACATTATCAGCAAGTAAAATAGGATGTATTTTATGGAATAGCGCCGTTGGATATCTAGTTATTGTTAAAGCGGTACATATATTCATTTAGATCCAGTCGAGTAAGTAGATTACGAGTGCGCGCAGGGTCACGTAAGGCGGAAGAAGGCGGACAAGTAGCCAAGATACAAGAGGTCATGAAACATCCGAAATGGAGTATAAGGCATAACCCTGACAATGATGTGGCACTTATACTACTCGATAGAAATATTAGGTAAGCGATATATTTAACTATATAGCTAGTTTTTATATAGCTGTAGTGGTAAATAAGCTTATGGTAAGCCTGATGTTAAGTGGTAACCGTCGAATGTTGACTGTGATAACCCATACATGACATATTGACAATATGGCATTATCTACCATTGATCGGATTTTTTTAGATTTTCAGATGCTGTACATGCTGTAGATTTGCCAAATCGCCTCATGTTACCTGCTTTTGAAGACGTCTGGATTACTAGCTGGGGATCTGAACGTGTAAGCTAACCATAAATTGTAATAAGTCGCATTAAATACGATAAGTCAAATCTATTCTAATCAAATCTAGTCAATTCAAAATGTATGAGTCAAGAACTAACACAAAACTTTCCTTTAATTTCGACTATAAATTGTTATAGACATATATTTGTGTTGTACATATTAATACAGATATATAATAATACATATTATCTATAAATTTATAGAGAGATGGTATATACGACAAGAAAGGCATGACGCTACAGGTGTACCACGCCCGCCTGATGGACCGAGATAAATGTAACAATGTCACACAGCGGTTTGGAATTACTGTCACAGAAAATTTCATCTGTTTGTCACAGACTGGCAGACGAGCACCTTGCACGGTGAGCTCTTATTGTTATTCGTTTAAGTTTACCTCTTGTTTACTTCACGGCTCTTAATATCGCGATTAAATAAGTTCATTGGCGTGAGTTGTGCGAGTGAAGGCCCTCTTATGGATTACTGTTTTATTTTGTAAATACATAAAACTTTAGGTCGACCAACTTGCGTGTTTGCGAACCAACACGGCCGTCTTATGATAACGTGATGCCCGTGGTTGCTGTCTATGTGTATAGGTGATGGTTACCACGTACCATTAGATGGGTCGTCAGCTTGTTTTCCATTTCAGTTACGTAAAAAGAAGTGGCATACTGCGGTTTCTAATGAATACTAACAATTTTATCGACAGCGCGACACTGGGGCACCAGCAGTAAGCGATGGTGTTGTATGGGGTCTCGCGTCGTGGGGTATTCGAAAATTGTGAGTATTTTTTTTAATCGAATATCTAAGGTAATTATTTTTATTTATTTTAGGTTTTTATACATGTATCAATAATCTGCACTAAATAGAGACTTGCAAATATTAAATAGGTCTAAATTAAAATAATTTAGTATATTACTAGCAATCTGCTATACGTGGGACCCTGCTTAACACGAAAAAGATAGCCCTATTTACGTCCTTGTGATACAATATACCTATAGGTACGTCAAATTTCATTAAAATCCCTTCAGCCGTTTAGTCGAAGAGGTACCAATCAAGTACAGTTACACACTTTCACATTTATTATATTATCATGAATAAAAATAATGTCCATACTTAATTTACTGTTAGCAAATATTTTCACGAAACAAAAATATAAATTTTATTTAGATCTTATGCAGGCTGACACACTTTTTTATTTATAAAACTATCTGTTACCAGCGACTTACTTTGCATAAACGTTTAATCGTAAAAAAGTATAGAAATCAACAAACATACGACTATCCATATATTTATACTAGCGGTTCCCGCGACCTCGTCCGCGTGGAAGAGTATTTTATTTTTATCAAATAATAGAATTTTCTAATATAAAAGCAGCCTAAGTTACTCCTTATGATATCAGCTACCTGCCGAAAAAAGGCCCGTCTAAATTGGTCCAACCATTTCAGAGATTAGCCGGAACAAACAGACCGAAAGACAGACAGACAAATATTATAAAAAAATGTTGTTTTGGTATATGTACCATATTTAAAACCTTAACGAATTATATATGAGCAGACGATGCCCGGGAATCAGCTACTTATCTTTATCTACATATACATCGCAAACTATATGGATATAAATAAAATGGCTGAGGAGCGATTTTATCCGTTTCTCGACCGATTCCCGTCCGAATATTGAAATACTCTCTTTTTTACTACATGCATATATATAGAATATATTCATATGCATGTAGTAAAAAACGGTTATTTCAATATTACAAATAGACACTCCAATTTTATTTATATGTATAGATGTTATATAGTATTGATTAATCACTAATTTACTCGTATTGTATTCTAGATGTGGCACGGAACGATACCCGGCAGTATTCTCGTACCTTGCATCGCAAACTAATATGGACTTTATTTTAAACGCAACACGACTTCTAATGGCTGAGGAGCGATTTTATCCGTTTCTCGACCGATTCCCGACCGTCCGAGCAACGTCTTCCTCCACAACCACTACTCTCTTTCCATATTAACTATATGTATTAAAAATGTATACAATAAAAATACTTATATAAATATCTACATTTGGTTTTTTTATGATATTAGAGAACATATTGAGGAAGAAAAAGGGAGTTGACAAAGTGCAGAGGTATGCTGAATTGCGTTACGCCATATTAAACAAATATACCTAAATATGGGCATTGGTGGCCGAGCAGTTAAGCACAATTAGTCTAATTACCCGTAACACAGGCTCTGCTTAGTTTAGGATAAAATGGCGCTGTGTATATAGTGTATCTACAGGCGATAGTGCTAATTGGTGGTTTGTATTCACACACTTAAACTTAAAAATGTAAAGTAATAATAAAATTATTTAAAAGAGCAACACGCAAGTTTCTTGCTCGTTCTTCTTGTGATGAGACAGCTTTCCGAATGAGCGGTAGATTAAAAAAATGTAATGACTATTCAAAAGTGCTTCAATGTAAGTTTATTTGAATAAATGATTTTCTATTCTATTCTATCACTCACCATAAAGAGGGCTGAGAGTTTGTTTAATCCAGATACTTAATCCAACAAATTAAACTTTTGTTAATTAACACGTTCGTAAAGACGATTATGTAACAAATTGACTGTTAAACAATAACAAACCTAAAATTGTTCAGTACAAGAACATAATAATAATCTCAGGACAATTCACACAGCACCATCTAGACCCAAGTTAAGCTAGGAAACGCTTGTGTTATGGGTACTAGACAACTAACTACATAGATATTTTTTTTTTCACATACATATTATACATAGAAAACACCCAGACCGACACAAACAATCATACTCATGAATACAAATGTTTGTGCCGTGCGAGGAATCGAACCCGCGACCATCGGACGTAAAGCGGTGTGTTAGACCGCTAGACCACCGAGGTCGTCGAACATAATATCGTAGATCATTTTTGGACAGTTTGAGATATGTTTATGAAATTTGGAACACATATTTATCTCGCAAGTCTCAATATAAATTTGACAGGTTTGTGTGATTGAAAGAGGGGGTCAAAAGTGGCTCCAGGTATAATGAGATAAGAAAGTAGGTATAATGAGATCGACAAACGATCTTCAGGTTCATTCTCCCGCTATTATCTCGCCATCCATAAGACATCACGTATATTTATTTTATGCCAATCAAAAACTATCTACAACCATTTTGTCCAGACATTTTTATCATGGTCCTTAATTTCAGAATAAAATAAGATTATACTTTATACCTGTATTTTAAGATAATATTCCAAAAATTTTAAGATTCTTTGTAGGTACTAAAAATACACGTGATGACGAAGGATCACGTGATTAATGGACGGCCCATAAGTATGTCGTCTATCCACCTGGCTCCAGGTCATGCCACACTGTTTACCGATTCGCGATCGCCACTATAGATATATAAACATACGTCTGCTTCAGGAGATATATAACGTAGGTCTATTAAAAAAAAATTAACCAAAATTAGTGTCAATAAGCATAGAGTAGGAAAAAATAAAACTCGAACTTCAGTATATGAGCATATTTAATATTTTCTTTTTCAAAATTGTAAAACTCACATTTTGAAATTGCAAAATTATAACTAAATTCTCATATCGTTAATAGTAACAATCGCCATTTTGTAATTCTCTCCATTTTTTTGTATTTCTCTCAAACTAATAATAATAATTGTAAACCATTTATACATCTATAATAATAATATATTTTAATGTCTAACAAATTCATTTTCTCAACGTATTTACCCACCACTTTCGATTTTTTTCGTAATCCCAACATCAACTTTCACATATTTCTAATCAACTTTTTTTTATAATATTCTAAACGTACTTTTTACAATATCCCGTAATTATACAATGACTACAGCATTTCCTACCGCACCGATGTTGTTCGTTTTAGAAAAAATATTGGAATGACTTTAAAACGAAGCTGACCTAAACTAAGACTAACATCAAAAACATCTTAACACATACATACAATACAATGAATGTAATCACCAATTCGTGTACGTACCCAAATCATATTGTTTCTTTGGCAATTTTAATATTCAAAAGTGAATTTACAATTTTTAATTAAACACTGGCTAAAGCTCTTTAATTCTATTGAGAAAAACTGGCAAAACACGTGAAACTATTATACATTTCAATATTAGTAAATATTCCGATTAGTACATATACATTCACTGCTGAACACACGCGTGGTCTTAACAATACTTCCATTTATATATACCGATACGTATGCACTGGTTTACCTTACAACCCCAGAACCCAAATCCTATATTAGAAAAGTTAAACATGTCACTAATATAGAAACAATCGAAAATGATGATTATTGTTAAATATATTAGTTAAAAAAAATGAACATTATAACCAATCTGTAATTTTGAATCTATAATCTTACTATACTACTATTATAATGGCTAAAGTTTGTGAGTATTGATGGACAGATGGATGGATGGATGTTTGTTACTCTGTCACGCAAAAGCTACTGAATGAATATTAATGAAACTTTACAATAATATAGCTTATATATCAGCGGCCACAGCTAGTCTCAAATATATGTTAAATTGCCACTATCGGTTTGCTGTTGAAATTATCATGAAATAGTAAAATTTACTGTTTTGTAATTACTATACAGTAATTTAATTAAGTATTACCTTTTGCCAGCACAAGTTAAATAGATGATATATTGGTTCATGTTATATTGAAGAGAATTGAGAAATATATAAAAAAAATAACTTCATAATAATATAGGACTCAGGCATTTCACATACAGCTAACGTAATCCCAATTTACGCTACACGCAGCACTAATATACTGTGGTTGCTGGCAACACTACACCCATCAGCAGTGAACGTGTCAATCACTTCTCCTTTTATGAATCGGTTGAAAGTTTAACATGATCTTTGAATTTGCCATACCTTTATAACGACACAGCATATTCAACTTTAAGCACATGTAATTATAATATAATATTTCTTACAACCGATTCTTTTGAGGACCAACAATTTCAACTCGGCGATGTTAGAGTGATTTTACACAATTGGAAATATTAACTTTAAAATTAATAGCAACTTATGAAGCGTTTATGACGTAATTATTCTATGTAAGTTTAAAACTAAAACTAGATACACAGATAATCGGAAAATTTGACTAACACTGGCCGAGATATGAATATGAATATAAAATTAACTAAAATAACTTTAACAGAATTAACAACATGTAACAGGACGAGGTATTTGTATTTATTTAAAAAAAACAGTAGGCCAAATATTAATTAAAATAGTGTATTAGGACTGCAAGAATTGTTATACAGTATTGAACCTTATTTTGTACACCACAAGCAGTATTTCTAACATTACAACCTACCTATAGTACTTGGCCATAAAATCTATGGTAACAAATAGATATACGCACGAACTTGCGTCCATTGTACTGAGCAAAGCAAAAATGATTCATCGTATTATATAAACGAAAAATATAAAGATATGGAAATATACATTGATATTCAAAGATAAGTTTGGATGGAACCAATCACCAAAATCTCAAAATTTAATAGACAGACACATAAATCTTTTAAATAAGAAGATATAAGTTAGAAATATATTATTATAAGTTCAACTACTACAGCACTATTCGTATAATACAAAACAACAAATAAATTCGTGCCTCTTAACGCTAGAATGCGACTTTAGAACCTAGACTCTGACCTAACTAAGTAAAATGATGTACTTCGAACTCCGATTTTGAAGAATGCAGATAGGTATACCTATTCAGCCGCCTCGACTAAGCATGACTTCACTAAACTACGATCATCGCACCAGGCAAGAAAGAAAATAATCTATACACTAAAATCTCCCTGATTTTTTTCTTAATTCTAAATATACACAAAAATAATTTTGTACTCTTCCAACGAACTTCAAATGGCAACACGCTTTAGATTTTCTTTATTTTACAATTATGGCAGCTTTGTACGATCGCCGAAATATACAATTTTGGACTTAAGAATACCTTAGATTAAGGAATAATGTTCCTTAACCTAAGGGAGAGACTTACAATAATTATTCTCTATAGACTGGACAAAAACGAGATTTTAAAATTGATAAGTGGGCAACACTGTCGAACGCATAAACAAGCACCATACATTTAAACATTGAAACAGTATTGCCCAACTCAACATATATATATAATAATAAAATTGTTTTTTTAAAACAATCTCCTACATTATGGATTTCAACTGCGTTAGGTTGAATTTTTTGGAGGTGTGTGGGAACTACTCTCTTATTCATAAAAGCGCTAAGTATCTAATAAACCTATAGAACATCATCTGTAGAACTGTTACGTCCTTTTCTTTTGACCCATATACTTCATTTAAAAGAAAGTGACAAAACATTGTATAATAGTTAAAATGGGTTAGAATAATGTTTTAGTGTTTATGAATAAGGGGCAGTAGAATTTACTATTCAAGTGAGCACGACATAAAATCGTATTTTAACTAGAAATTATCTATTAATGACTATGAAAAAACATGAATATTAACTATCTACGGATGTCCTTAACTTTCATTATTGAATTTCATATTTTAAATATTTTCAAAATGCTTATGTTACTGTAAAAACCTGTTATTGATATATCTTTACTAATAAATCTTTGAATTTATCAACATGTTGAAAGCCAGGATTTAAAAAAAAACAAGTTTTAGGGGTGGATGTTACAAGTCTAAGATTAACCATATGTATCGATGGTAAAAACTTGAAATGCCCGAAAGCTAAGTTGTAACTTTTACCATTAAAAAAAGTAATTCTTAGATTTTACTGACATATCTTAGATTTTAAACTACTTCGGAGTTTTACAGTAACACTTATAGTAAATAAATAACGCCTTTCTCTGAAAACATTACGTTTTTTTCTCAAATAATTCACACGGAATTAGTATATGTATATATGTAATTATTATAATATATATAGTAATATTTGAATTTCGAACTCTTATAACACTTTTATAATGTCTTTACACTTTTGATCTATTTTAGAACCGAAACGTCAGTCAAATCCAAAGTTTTTATTCAATTCTCAAGTCACTGACACATTAAAAATATCCAAATTTAAACCCGAATATGTCTGGTAAAGACAATTTGGGTAACTCCTAGGCCTGATTCAAGAGTAGAGCCTCTAACTCGTCAGCGGACCGCAGCAAGAATGCAGCAGACTCACGGTAGCCGGTGATGAGCTGCCTAACTGCACCAACTTCTGCGCCTGACAGCTTATGAGATAGCAGCGAGGACTTGGAGGTGGAAGACGCCGCGGTACCAGGCAACGATGAAGAGGTAGAAGTAGCGTGGAGCGGAGCCGGCGTCGAAGTCTTCAGCGACAGGTCTGTTGGTGCTAATATTACGAATTGTTAGTATTACCTAATTAATTAAACATATATAAATAAAAACGGTTCAGTTACACTTTTTAAACACGAAAAGTGTTGACCTATTTATTAAATCATCGGTAATTTTTATGGAAAATATTTCTATTCTGATACATTTTGTATACATTTTTGTTGAGCAAATATTTCGATGTTTTTTTAATTCGTCTTGGTCAACACAAGATTCCTCACGAGGACAACAGAACGGTAAAATATAAGTATCAAATATGTATAACACAATTCATCTTGATAATAATTATTACATTTATTTATTTATTTATTGTAAGCAACAGATGCAATAATGAGTATGTATTTTATTTTATTATAAAAAACTATATTATATGCAGCTAATTAAACTTGATTCATTGACGCCTGGGCCTCTAGTATTTTAAATCTTATATATAAAATTCTCGTGTCACAATGTTAGTTACCATACTCCTCCCATACTTTATTACTTGACGGCTTGATCGATTTTTATGAAATTTTATATGCATATTCAGTAGGTCTGAGAATCGGCCCCTAAATGGTAAGGGATATCCACCCCTAAATATATATTTTTTATTTTTTAGACATAATATTTTTTTTTTTATTATTATTTAGAAAATAAATACAACCCTAAATTTTCACCCTTCTAGCATCAACGCCTATTTTTTAATAGCGATTTAACTATATATGGCAAAACAACGTTTGCCGGGACAGCTAGTAATAAAATAAATGTACCTGTAAGACTGGTCGGGAACGTGTGCGTGTGAGCCGCCATCGCTGACAATAAAGCGCTTTGGTACGCTGCCATCGCGGCATTGACTCCTACACCTGTACATATACATATAATCCATACTAATGTGAAAAAAGCAATTCAGCGGCTGAAAGTATTAAGAAGAAAGTACTCGGAAACCACTGCACGGATTTGAGAAATCCTATTATCGCTAATTTGATTTTCACTTAAAATAAAATCGTACAGACTCTTAACTCGTTACCGACTTGTTTGTTTGTGCGTTAACTATTCACATAAAAAACTGGGTGAATCAGCAAAATTCTCTTAGAGAATATGTGATGAAATCTTTGAAAAATAACACCTAAATATGTAAATATAGTAATTACTTTTAAACACTCTTACTATTGTGAATTACTTTATTAACAAAACAATATAGACAGAGTTTTATAAATGCTTTGTTTATTGTCATCGTTTGATCACCATCATGTCGATATGGATGAAGTAACTAAAAATAAAAAAACATGTAAATATAACTACAATATTATGAACCCTTACCGCTGGGTGGCAGAGCTGACAGTGTTGACAGGAGAGCACTATTTGTAAGCGCTGACGCTGAATTCGTGTTGGAACTGTAATGTAACAATGACAGTCGCAGATTTATTATAATGAACTTTTAGATATATTGTATAAGACTAATTTGCAAGTTGTTCTTTAGTTTCAGGGTAATAAGTAAAATTACAGTGTATGAAGACAGGTTGACGGCCTGACAGCTCCGGCAGTCTAGTGGTTTAGGACATCGCTTAAGTCTGATATCATCGGGTTAAATTCCTCGCGTTACCAAAGTTAACAATTTTTTCTTACCTCTGTCTTCCGAACGTTTGTGGCGTTCCAAATGTATTTGGAAATGAAGGTCTAAATAACGGTGCTGGCGATGACGCGGGGCTGAAAGTAATAAAAAATGAAACAAATTAACTCGTATTTATTTTCTTTACTCGACGACCTCGGTGGTCTAGCGGTCTAGTCTACCGCTTTACGACCGATGGTCGCGGGTTCGATTCCTCGCACGGCACAAACATTTGTATTCATGAGTATGATTGTTTGTATCGGTCTGGGTATTTTCTATGTATAATATGTATGTATTTACGAAAAAAAAAATATATCTATGTATTTGTATCAGTTGTCTAGGACCCATAACACAAGCTTTAGCTAGCTTAACTTGGGTCTAGATGGCGCTGTGTGAATTGTCCTGAGATTATTATTATTATTATTTACTTGTTTTTTTATACTACTGATAACATATATGCGGACAGACAACAAACCCTTGGTATTAAAAAAAAGATTATAATAATTTCTCTTAAATTCTCTAATTCTCTTAAAACAAAATTCTAGATACACATCACATTCCTTTACCTACCATCCAATTTCATAAACCAAAATTAATAATTGCACCAGATGAACATAACCTACCTGGCAGTCTTACTTCCAGCATTCCCATTAGCGTTGTCCAATTTCAAGCTGTTATTGTTCAACAATGCATTCTCCATTGTGGGGCTTGCTGATGGCCTGGTAGAATCTGCTGCTACTTTGCTGTGTCCTGCAGTTGCTAAAGATGTCGTGCTCGTTGTAGTGGCAGGAGTGGACGCTGGGCTACTGATGGCTCCACTGTACAAACTGAGGAACGACGAGGCGACGGCAGAGCTTGCTGTCGTGTCGATAGCCTGTTAAATAAGAAATCTTATTGAAAATGCTTCAAATACGTAAATACCTACAACAATGCAAAACAAAATAAATTTAAGTCTATGGTAAAATTTGACACACTTTGTCGTTTGTTTTTTTCCGTCACAAGGATCAGTAATACTTATGCATTAACATAACATTGATTAACGTTTCATGTGGACTATATGCTGGTTGTGAATAAATATACTTCATTGCTATTATGAATTCTTGGTAATATGCACTTACCATAGGCGTGGGCACAGTTGGCATCGGTTGGCTGACAGGATCGAGTCCAAGCCGCATTCGCTTCGCGTTGAGGCTCTCGTTCTCACAGGCCTGTGCCAGGATATGTTCCGCTTGTACCGATGTCAGGTGTGCCGGCGTCGGCCGCACCTGGAACAGAGCGGAACCGGTTATGTTTCTTGTTCATCTGCTAATGAGTAGCGGAGTAGTTACTTTCTCATTGACAGTGTCATAAGAGAAGGTCAAAATCTTTGCGTTGGTACTTCCGACTTAAATTATCAAATTCAGTTCAAACAAAAATAATACATTGGAATTGGAAAACATCTAGTTTTTTTTTAAATTGTGGAATAACCAATAAGTAATTAGTTGAAAATACTAGGAGACGATAAGTTACTAATAGATCGGACCCTCACCGCTGTGTCCCATGCGCTGCCAGTGCCCGGCGTGCTGCCACCGTTGCCCGTTGTGGGTCCATCTCCACGAACCTTCTTATTCCTCCTGCAACTCTTCAAGTATGTCCTGATTCTCTTTCGGGCACGCTCGGCAAACTCTGGAAACTGTCGAGTGCACGAATCGATGATTGCTTGAATCTTCTCCTTTGGCTGTTTGGATATAGGAACTATCCTGTCTAAGTTTTCATCAACGAATAGCCGGACGAACATCTGAAAACAATATAAATATACAAATAAATTTGAGTATAATTTTGTATACATAATATATAAACTGCTATAGCATAAACATTCTTTTGCATATATTATAAATCTATTAAATACTAGAGATGTGTCGACTAGTCGGTTAAGCCGACTATCCGGCCACTATCGTAGTCGGCGAATAGTCTGCGACTAGTCGGCGCCCAACCGGCTTTTTACTATTATTGGAATTACATTATATAAAAACCTTGATGATTTATTAATATTTTTATTTCATAATCAGTCTTCCACATTTTGAAATAAAGTAAAATTAAATGTTTCTGAAATTAAACATTTGATAGGAGATCCTAACTGAGGTATCAGAGTTGGATGTCGGTACTTAATATGGTTGTTCATACTTGTAGTATTCCCTGTTTTTCCCTGCCCACCCACCACCCATTATCATTTGGCGTTGGTTACACTTAACTTTACGAGAATATTTGTCCAATTGTTCAAAAAACATCCATACCTGACGTTTTCTTTTTGACATGATTCAATTTTAATTGAGCTTTCTCACTTTAATGAACACTAACAGTATTATGTTCATACAAAAACACCGCTCTGATAGCAAAAATCAAGAATTTTAATAATGCGAAGTACACGTTCCGAAATGTTCGCAAGGGGCGTTTGTCACTTAGGCGTGATCGCCTTGGCCGACTAGTCGCCCTACTCGGCCAAAGTCATGATCGGCACATCTCTATTAAATACTTACCTAGAATTTTTTTTTTCCTTATAAAAATAAAGTATTTTCTTAATTTAGTAGTAAATAATATACAATTATTATAATAACGGAATACTATATTTTTATGTGTTACGTATTAATAATATCATTCGTATTTAGTAACTATGACAAATTACAACATCCGTGCAGACAAAACCCCAACAGGAGTTTTACAGAACAAAAATTATAAAAAATCATGTAAATTGGAAAAATATAAGGCTTTTTATCAATCTGTAAAGAAGAAACTATTTTATTTTATTACCCACAGACTTATTTGGTTGTTACCTATTTCTGCCACCAAAGCAGCTTCAGGCAGAAGGGTAAGATATGCGTGTAGCAGTGAAACTACAGAGTACGCAGATATGACCACTAAGTCCTCAGATATGGAAAAGTTTGAGGAAAATAACTTTCTCCAGATAACGACATGATTTTAATATTTTTTTGAATGTATATAAGCTACGATTACCACTCTCAATAAGGTGGCTCGATGGATATTGCCATTCTAGTTACAGTAAAGAAAATGACTCACATTGAAAGCCTTCAGTCGTTCCGGGTCATGATGCTGTGGATCGACTCTATCATCGCTGTCATCGTCAGACGCGCCGCCATCGTCGTCATCCTTGGTCCGGTCCGATGACGAGGTTTCGTCATGCGTCGATTGTTCAGTACCAGGAGTAGCCGAACCAATGTGGATTGGGCTCTGCGGAATTAAATGGCATGAAAAAATAAATCTTTTCTCTTTACAGAGTTACACTTTTGTTTAAAGTTGTCTGCGTGGTTGGTCGTCAGACTACCTATTTCATCCAGCTGCAAACAAAGCAACCTCTCTATAAGCTGTGTTTCGGTTAGAAGGTAAAATCTTTGTCTTCCTAAATGGCAATGCCTGAGCAATAGTATTAGTAATTTTGTTACTACCTTGGTGCTATTCTATTTACCATAGCTAATTACCATTCCATCATAGTTACTCAGAAAGGAACTCAATTTCCTTTCTGAGTAACATTAGGTTACTATTTAATACTGAAGACAATACATTTAAAAATATAGCAGCAGATCTAACTACAGATAGCTCCGAGCGGAATCTTTTAATATGACCTGTTATAAAAACTGTCTATTTGTAAAAATAACTGGAGGTATAAGCACGAAATTTTGATTGCTGTAAAAGTACCCTAAAAGTGTGAAACTATTAATAATTTGTGGATATTTACGCGTCACTTTCTATTTAGTTAATTCATTAATTTATATATCAAATAATAGATAGCTTTATATTATGTTTGATAATCATAAGTACATAGCGATCTATGTATGAAGGTACAGTCGTACGATTGGCCTTGCTGGCACACCTGTTAATTAATAAAATAGCTTGTAACTGTAAAATTGACAATTGGTTCTGATGGAGATGTTCTGCGAATATTAAGTAAATATAATTTATTATCTTTAATGGTGTTTTAAATCACATCATAATGACAGTCTTACATGTCACATTCCTTTTGATAAAAGAACAGTACTCATTTTAAACTTATTAATTTCGACCAATATGCCTAAAGTAAATAATAAGTTAATTTATTTTAAAAACCCTGTCATTAATATAGAGTCATTGTAATTTAAAAATATGAAAAATGTTGGGTCAACCTTAAAACTCACCGAGTGGCCAGTGGCCAAGGGTGTCGGAGCCTTCGGGGGTTTGCTGCCCAGCCCCAAAGCGCTGTGGTATGATGCCCACAGGTCCGCCATACTATCTGCACCGCTCTCTGTTATGTCCCCATTCCGGCCTGAAATAATTAAGTAATTATTATTGTCTGACCGAATTTTAAAACCCATATATATTAATTTTCGGATTAGTATTGGCTATAGGCGAAACGAGGACTAAAATTGAAACAACATTCTTAAGAAATCATTTAAATTGATGATTTATTAAAACAGCTTTCCCACTTTGTCCCACCAATCTTGTCTCCTTATACTTGAGGTTATAAGATAGCCCTGTGTCCGTCTTTGTGATACATTGTGTGTTCACGTCAATTTAATTAAGATCCGTTCAGCCATTTAGTTGTGAGAAGGTACCAAACAGACAGACACACTTTCGCATTTATAAAAGTAGGATTAGAAAGAATAATTCCACAACATTTTTTTCATGATTGTGTACATGTATTCTATTTCGTCAAACAAAATTTGCTTACTCGTTTGAATGTTACTCAATCCTTCTCCATAAATATTATTTCTGACTGCTACCATTAATAAAAAATCCAAATTATTATATTTATTTAAACCTATAACTTTTATTCTTTGGTTATTAACACACACTTGTTATTGATGCTAATATTAATATCTATCTTAATGTAATTTGCAATTTTATACTAGGACCTATATTATCTAAGGACAATAAAGCGTGCATTTTTATGGCCACGACATTTCTCTATTTCTGTCTGTCTGTCTCTTTAAAGCGATCCTATAATTTCGCTTACGTTTAATATGCATACCCAGTTACTAAGGCTGTATAAATTAATGAGGGTGTGCAGAACGCACCCGCAAGGGACCGGTGCATCTGCTTCTAAATGTCAACCCGAACAAGCCCTCGCCTATAAATAATTTGAGGTGGTTGTAACGTCTGCGTCCCTGGTACACTGTCACTCTCTCGATATGGCTTCGCGCAATAAAAATAGCCGGGCCATTGCCGTAGAAATTATTCCAGCCGGTAGGATACATCAAATTAAACTATAGTAATATACAAACCTAGAATAGTTTGCTTGTTTGATCGCCCTAATTTATATTCAACTAGCTGTTCCCGCGACTTCGTCCACGTGGAATTTAACTTTATTTTTCTAAAATAAAAGGTTTTTTTAAACAAAAACAGCCTAAGTTACTCCTTATTACATCAGCTACCTGCCGAAAGAAGTCCCGTCAAAATCGGTGCAGCCAATTCAGAGATTAGCCGGAACATACAAACCGACAGACAGACAGACAAAAATTGTAAAAAATGTTATTTTGGTGTATGTATCGTATTTATATTCATATGCATGTAGTAAGAAACGGTTATTTCAATATTACAAACAGACACTCCAATTTTATTTATATGTATAGATAAAATAATTATTAATCAGACGACTAAAAATATCCTATATATTTTAATAATTAATCAAATATTTTCGTGTCGTCAGAATTAAAGATAAAATTCTGTCTTTTAATTCCCATTCGTAAGGAAGTCTAGTAAACATCACGCCAGTCTTTAGAGGAGCACAACAAATATAAACTACTAGGCGACAAATAAGTAATAGCGCAGGTGATGTGATGCGGCGAGTGGGGAACGAGGGGGGCTATTATATACTTTAAATTAAAAGGCGCAGGTGAAGTCGCGTGGCACAGCTAGTAAATAATGATAAATAAAACTGAATTAATTTTGATTTAAAGTTTGATGCAGTCACTACGTACTCGTACAAATAGGTTTCATAAGGTATAAAAAATATATCATACAAAATAAAAGTTACCTTGCGCCTGGCTGTGGTAATTCCATGCAAGCAACATCATTTTCAACTTCTCAGCGTCTTTCGCGAAGGCCTGACCTGCACCAGATCACATTCGCCAATCAATTTTAAAATTCAAATTTAGAATTTCGATAACATTCTGTTCTCTTCAATATAAAATAGCCAATTTCAATGCACGGTATTTTATGCCAGTACGAAAAAGAAAATGTTTATTTATTTTTTTATATTGTATTATTTGTTTATCACGCATAAAATACCAATGGATATAATTGATTTGATGCAAGTGGCTGGGAAATTGAAGTGGTGGGTAATAAATATTGTAAAATATGTTAATTATATGTAAATATCTACATATATACTCACTGGAAAAATTGTCATCGTCGTTCATATCTACTGGTTCCGGCGTTAGATTATCCTGTAACAATGAAAAATATACTTTTAATTTAGGAAAACTCGACAACACAAAGTTACAATTATGAACATGAACAACATGTGGTTAGAGGTAAGATATCAAAACAAATCACAAAATAAAAGACCAAAGAAAGGTATAAAAGAACTTGGTATCTTATACCCTCTATCCATTCCATCCAGTACCTTGACGAGCTAAAAATTGCCAAACCTACTAGGGCGACATGTGATCGAGCAAGTGATAAGTAATTAATAAATTAGCAACCGGCCGGGCTGTGCTGTCCGGGTCAACGAACTGGTCCGCGAACACAAATCGATAGTGCTTCAAATGGACAAGCCAACTAAATATAGCCCTAAACTATGTATACCATCACACATAATCCCCTGGTACATAGCTGTTATCAATATCTAGTACAGAGCAAGAAACGTCAGGTGATGTACGAAATTGGAAAAAAGTATTATTCGTTTCTATAGCACCTGGCCTACTTAAAGAAACGAATTTGATATATATATTTACTTACAACTATGGAGATGTACATACTCGCGGACTCACTGATAACGAATTAAAGATTTTAAACTTAAACTCGTAACTATTAAAAGAACCCCAGTAAATGATGCTTGTCTCTTTCTATTGACTTACAAATTCTTCCAACGAAAATGAACAAAATAATACAAAACGACTCGTCTGTCAAGTTTTATTTTCGCAAGAAAAAGTATGCAATAACCGAATCGAGTTAATTGATTCAGCGATATTGGTGTGAAAGTGAAAAAAAACATACGAACTCTCATTAATAATCTTGGGATAAAAATATTTCATTCTTTTATCGATAAAACTGTTACATCAAATCGATAACTTCAAACTCCATCAGCAACACTAGCCTCGATATGTGCTAAAAGGGTAAATCGCACAATAATAGGCTAGTATGACGCAAAACATTTCATCATTGGGAGCTAGAGGGCGCACGTAATGACCGAATGACATCATACGGAGAGAAATTCCGACGTCCCCGGCATCCCCTAACCTTTGTTTAGCATTGCGTACGTGTTCATATGAGACGCACACATGCAAATTTAGATAGTACGTTTGGCGGCGCTAAAATGTTGTTGTATTTGCTAAAATTATTTATTTTATACGTAAAAAGTTAAAAAAATATCTATAAATTCATAAATTCTATCTATAAATTCAAAAAATATCTATAAATTCATAAAAATAATTATTTATTTACATTCTTTATCCTGTACATTTATTTGCAAGCTCGTGATATTTTTTTCTCTTTGTGTGTTAAGGTTTCACGTAAAACGGTTCAAAAATTGTTATTAAATTTTCACAGATTATGTTGTAAAATATGTTTCAACATATAGACTATAGAATATTGATTATTATTTTAATAATATATTTTTTAATAAAACTATATTCTAAAATTTCACTCTTATAATTAGTTTATTAATCATATAATAAATAAAATCGTATAGATTATATTATAATTGCTGTTTGATCACTATCAATAGATCTATCAAATGTATTGTGAGTTGATGGTAGGCAAAAACCAACTACTAATTACGATTTAAGTTATAGATTGAAAAATGTACTTTCCAACTGAATAAACGAACCAATGAAATTTCTTTCACAAGTTATAAAATGAAACCTTGTACCAAAAGAAATTGACTTATATCAATCGTATTTCCTTCTTAAATTTTTTTTTCTTTTTACAAAATGTACTAGCGTAATCCTGTGGTAGTACTTTTTGTAAGGTAAGAAATTATTTTAGTGATGAATCAAAGCGTGGTAACCCTTGTAATGCTAAATTCATACTTTCATACCAAGATATCAATACATGTATCAATGCGGAAGGGTGTATTTATTCGTCTGTCACCTTGTCACGTTTGACGACATCATGTTTTTCTATATTATATGGCAGCACAAAATTTAAGGAAATAAAGCGATTTGACAGTTGCAAACCACACTTTAAAAAATTAAAAATATTAACTTTACCGTCTATTTATATATTGGAGATAGCTGTATTTGTTCATGAGCATTTATCATATTTTAATTTTAAATGTAATAATAGATTAAAAAGCCAACTGGCCCTACCAGAACCTAAAATAGAAATGTTTAGGGCGAGTCCGTATTACCGATCCATTGTAATATATAATAAAATCCCGGAAACCATAAAACAAGAAGATAAAATTAATTTATTTAAAAAAAGGCTTAAACAACTACTGACCGACAAAGCTTACTATACAGTAAAAGAATTTTTAACAGACGTACTATAGGAGCTAACTGGACACTACAACAGATCTAAATTTTAAATTTTATTATTGGAATGAGTCATCTACGAAATTGCCATACTCTTTAAACAGAGTCCATGTGTATTGTTAATTTATCATATGTAAATTTATGTATCCGCATGTGCAAATATAAATAAATAAATTTAATAAAATGAAAATGAAATTTAAATTTAACTTACATTTCAATATGCCCACAAAGTAGCGGATGATAGATAGTAACATTTTATACAAGTATCATAATTCAATAATATATTTCACTTCTTTATGAAAATCTTTCGTCTATAAATAACAAGATAAAAGAAAGATCGCTCTGAAAAACTTAACTGAACGGAGAAGAAATAATTTGATTGAACAACAACAATGAAACTGCTACATTTTAGTGGCTATTTTATAGCCGGCATCGACTTACGAAAACATACGAAGACTTTCATTCAACAAGTGGTCGCTCTGTCCGATGCAAAACATCATCAATTGTACCGACTCTAGTAGGCTGAAATATAGTTGTTGCTATATGTTGCATTTTATTTCTGAATTGAGACTAAAAACTATACTAAATAATAAGTACTTTTTAAAATGACATGTGATTGATAAATTTCAATTAAATTTCAACCTTGTTTGCACCGCTATACCGGTAATTATAATCAGCATCAGCAAATAGTATTTTCGTACGTAGAATATTATATATACATATATAATATTTGACAATAATACTATATAAACTTTGTAATTAAAATTTTTGGTTCCAGAGCTCGTACTATTTAAAATATTAAAATTGTTCAATATTTATTGAAATGCAGCGATGAAATGTTCACTATACTTTCCCAATATTGGTTTTAAATTCCAATGAAATGAGATTTTATTGAGATATTTTTAATAAGTATTTTTAATAAGCTATAACTTTCAGGATATTTTTTCATCTATATATATAAGTAAAGTTGGAGTGTCTGTTTGTAATATTGAAATAACCGTTTCTTATTACATGCATATGAATATAAATACGGTACCTACATATACCAAAATAACACTTATTACAATTTTTGTCTGTCTGTCTGTCGGTCTGTTTGTAGGAAGTACGAGGAGTAACTTAGGCTACTTTTATTTTAGAAAAATAAAATAAAATTGCAGACGGACGAAGTCGCGGGAACAGCTAGTTTGATCTAACAATGAAAGCCAGTTTTCTTTAGATCTATTCCCAATTTAATAAGGTTGAAAGGTAATAGATACAGCAGTGAAATTAAAAGATTGATAGGCGGAGTATGAACCCGTGTACCACAGGCATCACATGGTGACGTTCATGTATAGAAGCGACAGTCACCAGTTCCCATAGCTTACCATTTCAATAACATAAAAAAGTTATTGTAGCAACAGTCAACCTAATGTCATATACCTTAAAGACGTTTAATTTAATTAACTAAACACAATTATGTTTAATAACTTTGGTGTTAGTCGATGAGAATGCATGAATGCATCACTGCACCTTATCTGTCATTAAGCTATAATTAATTGCGGAGTGAATTGCAATAGTACCAACATATGCCTAATATGTACTAGGCATACATAACGCGGGAAGGGTCAACGGATATTTAGTGTCCGCATAGCAGATGCGGTCCTTGGCCACCGCCCTCAAGACGGTCGATATCTTGCTTGTCACCCCACCTAACTCCAAACTGGCTATGTGCACCTGGTCTTATACTTAGATGGTTCCAGTACTTAGCTGTAGATGTGTACTTTAGTCATGCGTATGTATGCAAGTTTGCAATGTATGATACGGTCTATACGAAAATTGTTATTTATTATGATAAAACTATTGAATTGAACTATTGTATTAAATATCTGCTAGATAATAGTAGTATAATACATAGATTATGCGAGATAACAGTGGTGAATTAAGAGAAAAAAACTAAAAACAAAAGTTAACTGTTACAATCTATTTATTAATAAAAAGTTAAATTAAATAGTTAGTAGTTGATGGCGTAATAATAAAGTGCATTGTTATCAGAATGTTACATATACATATATCACCCACCAACTTTAAATATAAATTATTTTATTACAAAACAATATTATAGAATACGCTCGTGTTAATTATTAATATTCCGCTAATAAAAATAAAAAAAAATAATGAGAGAGGTCGGCGCAACATCGCGGTCCATCTGCCGATTGGCGAATAAATCGCGGAATAACCTAGTTTTCGATACAAAATAACTGCAAAATTTCGGGAATCCAACAGCGCTTATGTGCTGAGGGCCTAGTATGTACTGATACATGGCTTATGTACTGCGGTGTGCCTCCCCTCGCGCACCCTCCCCCCGTCACTCCGCGTGTGCCCATGTAGTGCTTGCCACCCCGCGACTGATCACGCTGTGACACCAACAATATCGCGTTTATCGATACTCGATATATAATACGGTTCCATTTACATATATATATATATCCTACTAATATTACAAACGCACGTGTAAACGTGAGTAAGGATGAATGTTTGTAACTCTTTCACGCAAAAACTACTGAATGGATTATGATAAAACTTTACAATAATATAGCTCGTACATTAGAATAACACATATGCTCTATAATTTAATAAAATATTATACAGATTAGGCGAAATATAATGATAAATGTTTAGTAAGTGTGATGCAGGCGAAGGCGATGCAGGACAGCGTGTATATAATAAAATATTTAAATAAAATTACATTTTTACATAATTATTATAGTATT